GCTGTAATTCATCCGTGCTATATCGAATTTCAGGCTGTAAGTAGTTCACCATCTCGTCAGGCGGTGGCAATCCATAGGAGTCAAAGTAATACTTTACCGGCCCACGTTTATACCAGCAGGTCCAATGCGTTCCAGGACCTTCCCAGCTATCGTGATTCAAGATTCCACATTCGATGCGGCGCGGGCTGGGTGGTAGGGTATCTCGCATGAATACCCCTCTGAAACATGGGATTCCTAGGTCCTTGGTGGCTTTCACAAGGTCTACATTCGAAAGAGGTTTATTGGGAAGGGTTATGTTGTGCACGCGAATGATGCTCATTTATCTAGGTATGGGCCAAGTGCGGGATGGGCATCCGCACCCGTCAGAGTCTGCTAAGTGCCCTCACCCGTGAGTGATTCGATAGTGGCCGTGCGAGAGGGTGCTGATGCCGTCGGGGAGGATGTGACGCTTATCATCTTTGGCGGAAAGAGCGATTTTGTTGATCTCCTGCGCGTAGATCTGATGGAGATGGCTCCGGAGGATATTCATCGGTCGATGGATCTCTTGCTGGGTGTCCAGGCATCGCTTGTAGTCCTCGAAGGCGATGCTGCGCTTGATGACGCTCTTCGTGACTCCCTTCGCCTTCTTGGTGGCCTTACCGTCATCCATCCTGAAGGCGTATAGCTTCGCCCGGAGCCCCACGAAATCGGTCATGGTCTTACCGCCGCACTCGTCCTTGAACATCCCGAGGACCTTCTTATTCTTGCCGGTGGGGATGCCAGAGGGATGCTCAGGAGGATAGTTGGAAGTGTCGAATTTAACCTCAACGTGCGGGGTGATATCCTGGTAGAAATCGTCGGTCTGGATCTCATAGGCCAAGCTGTCGGTATCAGTGAAGAGCAGCCGGGCCTTACTGCCGTAGGTCTTCCTCACGAATCCGTAGTGGAAGTCGTACATCAGGAGCTTCGAGATATCTAAAATGCAGGCTCCAAGGTAGATCGGCTTATCAAACTTCAGCTTGGTCTTCTTCATGTGGACGGCTGCTAGATTCTCGGTGAAGACGACGCGGCGATCGAAGTTTGGCTTGGCCACGAGCTTCAGGGCCTGCTTCTCGGTGGTGACCAGCCTAACGTCTACCCGCTTTCGGATATTCTCAATGGTCTTGCCAAAGACGGAGTTGACCATCAGCTTGAAGAAGTCTTTTTCGGAGTCGGTCTTGGCCTTGGCGCGAAGAGCAGTATTCAGATCCACGTAGTGCTTGAGCCATGGGGATTGTCTGAATCTGATGATACGACGGCATTTCGTAAGCTTCATCCCCATCTCCAGATACATCTTGAGATTTCTGTAGTGGAGGGTATACTTTTCGCGCTTGCCTAGATGGGGCACAAGCTTACGCACCTTACCGATCTCCACGTTCTCGGGCGCGAGAGGGTAGTCATTGTGGGCGTCGTGAAGATCCTGCGGATATTCGAGATCGCATTCTACCATGGCGCCATATTCGTGGTCGTCGGGATAGCTCAGGATCTCGTCGATCTCCTCCGGCTCCACCCACTCAAAGTCCCCCGTGGGAAGAGGCTGCGCCATCGCCCACCCGTAAAGATTATTGGCATCGAGGTAGGTGAGATACTTGGTGGGCTGGGAGCGATCGTAGGTCTCCATGTAGGGGTTGTTGGCCTTACCTTGACGATGAGAGATCATGGCCACCCCTCCCCTTGTCCCGCTCTCGAACATCATCAGCATATCTGGATCGGAAAGAAGCTCCAATCTAACCCCGGTGGTTTTTACCATGGCATCGAATGATAGCCCGGGGGAGGAGAAGTAGTGGACAGGATCGAGTCCATAGTTGGCCATGCAGATATCCCTAAAATTCTCGAAGATGTCGACTAGCAGTAGCACGTCAGTCTCGAGATAGAGGTCGTGATAATCGCGTAGGGTCTTGCACTCGAAGGTCTCCCAGACTCTCTGAGCGTGTGCGTAATCCTTATCACTGATATGCTCTCCGGAGAGCGTGCTGAAGAAGGCTTCTTTAGGTGGGAGCTGAGTCTCTTCCAGCTTGGCTGGTCCATCCATATAATCGTAGGGAAATACCCCCTTCCGAATCATCAGCTCGTGGCGATCGCTGAATCTCGTCTTCACGGTCGCGAATTGGTCGGGGGTGAGATTCTTAGCTAGGGTATCCAGGCTGTTGAGCATAAACCTACACGAGTCGATGAACCTCATCTCCAGATCACCCACCTGCTTGGAGAAGCTGATGTACTTCTCGTCGGTATTGGGGATGCAGTTGATCTTACCCTCGGTGTGGCCAAGCTCCTTGACAAAGATGTGGGCGTCGTACCCGCTCAAATTATGGAAGAGGATGGGGACGTGCTTCGGAAGCTGGAAATCCAGATTGCACTGGTTGTGCGCTGCGCCGCGATATTTCCCGGTGAGATGGTCGTGGTCCCGGACCTTATCCTCTCCCAATTCGTCTCCGCAAATGTAGCAGTGCGTGCTTTCTGCGAAGCTCACCTTATCGTCGTCAGTCAGCTCCATGGGCTTATTCTCCTTGTATAGCTTGGCGATGGCCTGCACTTCTTCCTCCACGCACTGCACGAATTTCTTTGCCGCATCCTCCCCGCAGTAGACGACCGGATCCTTGTAGTCTCCGTGAGCATATTTCACGTGATAGCAGAAGCCTGAAGGTCGCTGAAGCTGGTAGGCATTCGTGTAGGAGTGGGATGGATCCGGCTGGCAGGTGTCGAGCTTCTCTGTAAAGCACTCGAAATCCGCGTAGATCGCGAAGGGGACTCTCATCATCTTTTTGATACTATGGAAGGCTATGGTGGTCCCCTCTTCCGGCATCTCGATCCTGACTGCATCTTTCTTGCTGCAATATTCCATATGCTCGTCCAAGATATTCTGCCTGGAGAAGTGGGAAAGGCATCTGCGACAGAAGAAAAGCTCATGACCGTGCTCAGAGATTTGAGAGCTCAAGAGTCGTGAGAGGCTCTTGATCCAGCAGTAATGCTGCTTACCTTCGCGAGTCAAGAAGAGGAGATCTACGTGGGTGGGGCCCGTATTCTTAGATATTCTGAGGGGGTAAATCTGAAGATCCTCTTCCTCATCCTCACCCTTCTTTACGCCGTTGAAGCCATAGACGTTGACGTTGATTGTGGGATTCTGCCTCTCAAATTTATCGATCGCCCTGAGCGAGACTGGGAAGTCGATGCCTTCGAATTTTAGCTCTTCTTCCCATTTCTTGTACTGCGATACGCGGTTGGTGGATTTCTGGTCGACTTCCTCATGGTGAAGGGCTGCCAGCACTGCCCACTGGAGGCAGCGATCATCCTCATTTTTCACATTGACGATCGCCTTCTTTTTCACGAGAGCCGATGGGGTTGGTATGAAGGAGCCCCCCTTGAGTGGCTTGAATTGGTTGAGGTGGATTTCTAGCTTCTCGACGCTGCTGAAAGTCCACCCGCTCCCTTCCCGCATGTACTTTGCCATATTTTCCTTGACCTTCTCCATCATGAAGGCAATCTCCAATTCGAGGTCGTCAGATTCCGTGATCATTGTCGTGCGTGATCTGAAGGTAGGGGTGATGTAGGTATTTTCTCCGGTCGCGAGGTTGGTCTTCACCAGCTCTGCTAGAAGCACTAAGTGCACCTTCAATCCCTTCTTTTGAACGAGTGCATTCGAGATGGCGCTGGTGATGGTGCTCCGACTTACCTTCAGAAAAGTGGTCATATCGTGCGGCTTCGCGGGTTCGATGACGACCGTGCCAAATACGCCATTCAGAGCTTCCCGCCTATCGATGACCTTGATCTCATCCTCGACTGGAGCGTTTTTGATGTCCTCTTCCACCAGCTGGATCAGATCGTCTCTCTTGAGCTGAGAGTACTTGGTGAGGCCACGATTCTTTGCTAGCGCTTTGAGCTGCTTCTTGCTGAAGACTTCCTGGCGGGCAAATTTATGGGTGGTTTTCTCCTCGATGAGCTTCACCAAGGCCTCCTTGTTCTTCCTACTGACCCCCCTCAGACCCTCATCCTTAGCTATTTGACGGAGGGTCTTCATGGTCTCTTTTACCACCATCTTACCCTCGACTGGGATGGTCTCCTCCTCCTCCTGCTGGCGTGGTTGCTTGCTATGTCTCCAGCAGAGACCATCCTTCCCGGGCTTGCTCTTGCAGAACTGACCCTTCTTCCTCTTGAGCGGAACATTGCAAGTGGTCTTCTGCTCCCCTAGTTGATGATGCTCAAATCGCGACTTGGTGGATTGTGAACCGCATTTTTGACACTGCTCGGTATGCTCATCCATCTGCACTATGTTTGGAGCATTGCAGCACTGCTGCTGCCTTTGGGGGGTTGGGGTGTTATCCTTCAAATCTTCTTCATTCTCCAGAAAGAAATCCATCATATTTCTTTCGGATGTCATATCTTTATTTATTTTAATCTGTGACATCCTTCCCTTTAAGGTATCCTTATCCCCACTATCCTCTGGAGCGACTTTTCTACCATCGAATACATATGCCATTCTTGTATTTACCCTATGCTCAATAGGGATGCCGTCCGTTTGCATTTGGCCGTCTGGGCTGGGGGTCCTATGCAGGATTTCCCCTTGAAAATGCGATTGCGGCAGAATCGGCCTTTTCATACTACTATCATGAATATCAAATGTTTATATTTCAAAAAATACAGTTAGTAGACCTTTGAAAATACCGGTATATTTTCGGAAATATCGGTACACTTCGGGAAATACTGATTAAACCTAGGAAAGTGCCAGGGGACTTTAGTAAATAGTGGTGACTTCGGAAAATATAGGCAGACTTCGAAAAATGTTTGTAGGCTTCGGGATATACGGTTAGACTTCGGTAAATACTGGTAGACCGGGAAACTCTCTAAAAACGACCATTACTGGAACGATATTTTGCAAATAGAAGGTGTCAGTTAAACCAGGTGTAACGGTACGCCAAAACTGTACGTTACATAACTGTAATTAAATGTGCATCTAAATAATAACGTAATGTATATTACTCTTATAGGCTGCAGAACATGTATTGGGATCAGTTTTGTGTGCCCCTGGTTGTTTCAGTGTATACCGAGTCAGAGCTTTACGTGACATTATACCTACTTACGCTTCTAATGTGGAGAAAGGATTGGAATTCCTGACCAAAGACATGGGAGAAGATAGATGGCTCTGTACACTAATGGTAAAACAAATTTCCCCTGAATTTATTTTAAGAACTCATCATAGATCCCAGGATTAAAATTGTGTACATCAGACACGTGTTCCGTCTACAAAAGACTCATCAATGAAACTCGAGGACCCTAAGGGTACTAGTATTCAGAAAAAATTTTCGACCACATCGAACAGAATAAGGCTCCTTCTGAAACTAGGGTTGATTCAGCAGTTTTGGGTTTTTTTTTAAAGAAAAAGGGAAATGAAATTTTACATGTTAAAACATTTTTAGTATGAAATTTGCATGACTTTAAAAGTATTAGATGAAATTATTATTCCTTTTTCAAGACCAGCAATAATAATCTTATTCGGATAGATAAAGATAAAACGATGATGGGTGCTAAATAGCAAGAGAGCAGCAGTACTTTTGATTAATGTATAAATTCAGTCTGCATCAACTGTATCTTACTTTCGATGCTACCAGAACCATTAAATTGATATTAAACTTTAATAAAAAAATATATAGTTCACCTACCGCATCTATGTCAAGGATTTGGCAGATATTGATAGGCAAATGTTTGGTAAAGGTCTTTTTCGTCATGCGTTAAATTTTGATATCAAAATAAGATTTTGTATTGAAATATAATCAATTTTGAAACACCAATGTTAAAGAAATACATATATCATAAAATTAATAGAAGAATTCAAAACCATTCAAAACTGTGCTCATACGGAGACTTCAAAGATAGAATTCACAATAATATGATGGTCAACTCGACAATTTGTTAATTATATGAAATATATCTATAGGTACAAAGTGGTTGGAGAATAGACTATTGTGCAGCTTCGTGTAACTATACGAATTGTCCCACGGAGTTTGACGAGTTCTACACACAACGACGACGATGGATAGGTTCCACGATTGCTAACCTGTACCTCTTACTAAAAGAGGCCAAAATTGTTAGAAAGTTAAATCAGGGAATATCAATCTGGTTCTTGGTTTATCAGGCAGCATTACTGGTATCCACTGTTTTAGGACCAAGCACCGTTATGCTTATTATATCAGGTATGTCATGTTCTCCGTTCTTAAAACCTTATGATACATGTAGTTATGTCATGTTCATCGTTCTTTGTGTCATATTCACCGTTCATATTCGCTGCTCCGTGTGTCTTGTTTATTGTTCTCTGTGTCATGTTCGCCGTTCATATTCGCTGTGCCATGTACATTGTTTATTGTTCTCTATGTCATGTTCACCGTTCATTTTCACAGTTCTAGTGTTATTTTTTTTCGATATCTGCAACATGTTCACCGTACTATGTGTCTTGTTGTCCGTTCTCTGTGTCATGTTCACCTTTCCATATGTCATATACACCCTTATGTGTGTTGTTTTCACTGTTCTTGTTCAACTATCTTTCTTTCTCAATTACTGTTTCATACCACTGAAAAGTAGAAAAACACAAATTGAACAAGCTTATTGTCAGTTATCATGTCTCCTTAGAACAAAACAAAATAGTTTTGGTCATAATAATGGGCTCCAGTAGAATACCCTCCTTAGGCTGCAAGTTCACGTTAAAAATTTGCGTCAGGTTACCATGTTATTTTATAAGCAAACTATACAGTTCTTTTTCATATTTTTGGTTTGGTCATTTTAAATGACACTTCAGTTTGCAAGGTCGCCAGCCAAAACCCCTATGTCGCAGGTCGGATTGGACCAAGTTGGAGCCACTATAATTAAAATTTTCTTTTACAGGAGGATTAGCCTATGCATGGGGTTTAGAAGTGATAACAACAGTCATCATACAGTTTATTCTCATTGTTTTGTACGGAATTATCTGTATAAAGACTTCACAGAAGACGCAGTTACTCGTAAGTTTTGTTGGAGGATGAAAAACACTACCTCCTTGTATGTAAATGAACGAAAATCTTAGGGAAAAGCTTTTTGATTTTTTGTATCTACTAAAGATCTTAGAGAAAATTTATAAGAAATCTTTTTATCTACTAATAATTGTGTGTGTCTCTTCCTAAAGAAATACTAAATCATTCTACTATGGATCATGTAAAAGTAAAATTTAGTATGCCAAAAGGTACCATTACTTGTGCCGGTCGCCAGTTTGTAATCAAACAAAGTGCATGTAGTTTATTTTACGTCATGTATGATTTGAAAGTATACTCAGTGTCTATAGAAACGCAAAACATCATATTCCAAGTCCTTGTTGGTGCTTTTTTAAATAAAAATACAAAAATGATCTTGCAATTCATTCCTCAAACATTGGTTACATGTTGCTTTTACAGTTTGGTCTCGCATCGACCTTTTGGGGGTTCAGTAACTTACGATTCGTCCCACAGGGGTCAAAATAAAAAATCACAAATTTCACCCAAATGTCATCCACTGGACCAAATGCAATAGAAAATTGGTTATCGGTATTACTTTTTGCTAACCTTTTTCTACATGGGTTCATGATGGTGGAGATTGGCCATCCAAAGTGTAAATTTCAAAAAAAAATTGTAGAATTGTGGAATTTGTAATCCTAAAATCTGAAAATCAAAACGCTCTGAAAGTTGATAGAAATGTTCCATATATCCATACCCTAAGTTCTCTTCAAAATCTAAGAGCGATTTGACAACTTTCAAAGAATATCTGTCGGTTGAATAATTATTAATTGGAAAATATAGGTAGGGGTTGCGTTTCTAATGGCACTCAGTATATTATGGTTTGAATGAAGCAATATCCATACAAATGACAAATAATCTATCTGAACCATGTATAAACCCAAATACATTTTCTCAATAAACAAGATATCATTACACATGTCAATCAAACTCAGACGCTTGTATTTTATCAACACTGCTCTGCTGTATAGTACTTAATTGATTGAATATTGATCTTTTCCTAGTCAGTCAATTTCATTTGCTTTGACGTTCCAAGCCATTCTTTCCAAATGAATGAATGAAACATATATGATGACGCGACGTCTGATGTGTTAACAATTGAAATAAAGTAATTATTCCCTAAAGTTGCAATGTCTTGAAGAGTTTTATCTCTTGACTTTGGCGTTCAAATAATTTTGTTCTGAATGAAATTATGAAACACAATTATATGATAACGCTACATTCAATACTTAAAAGTGTTAACAATTGAAATATAGAAGTCATTCCCTTATGTTTTAAGGTCTTGAAAAGTTTTATTTCTTTTTCGTTCCAAACCATTCTTTCTAAATGAAAAAAAAACAAAACATAATTATGATGACGCGACATTCAAGACTTGCATGTGTTAACAATTGAAATAAAGAAATTATTTCCTAATGTTTCAAGGTCTCGAAATATTTTATTTCTTTTTCGTTCCAAACCATTCTTTCAAAATGAAAAAAATAACACATATGATGAGGGGACATTAAAGACTTGAATGTGTGAACAATTGAAATTGACAAAATATTCTCTAATGTTTAAAGGTCTTGAAAAGTTTTATTTCTTAGACGTTTCAAATCATTTTTTCTAAATGAAAGCATGAAACACGTATGATGGCGCAACATTCAAAACGTGCATAACTGTGATAACAATTGAAATAAAGAAATTATTCCAAAATGTTTCAAGGTCTTGAAATATTTTTTTTCCTTTAACGTTCCAAACCATTCTTTCTATATGAAAGAGTAAAACATATATGATGACGTGACATTCAAGTCTTACATGTGCTTACAATTGAAGTAGATAAATTATTCACTAAATTGAACATTTTAAGTAGAAATAAGAAGATGTGGTATGAGTGCCAATGAGGCAATTCTCCATCAAAGTCACAATGTATAAAGAGTAAACAATTATAGGTCAAAGTACGGCCATAAACACGGGGCCTTGGCTCACACCGAACAGCAAGCTATAAAATGACCAATATAAAACAATTCAAACAGGAAAACCAACGGTCTAATCTATAAAATAAAACGAGAAACGAGAACCACATAAATAAACACTAACCACTGAAACAGGTTCCTAAGGTCTTGATTATTGTATATAATTATCTTTTCTCTTTCATAGACGGCGAAAATTTTGACCTTCGCCTACGCCTTGGTTATGATGGCCGTTGTTGTGGGTACTGCAGAACAGATTGTAGAAAATCTAGCCAATATAAACAACAAAGCGTACCAAGATGGAAACGATACAATTAATCCAACCTTCAGCCCTGATGGTATGTATTTGGATGAAGGTCATTGTATATTAATGACGTTGAAGATGAAACTCATTTTTTCCTAAAATGTGGAATTACTAAAGCTTTACGGAAACAAATTGAAAAGAGATATAAATAATTTCTATCCAGGATTTTATATATTGTATGATATAAAAAAGACGGATTGCAATTAATTTTATCAGTATTTATAATATGCAGCCTCCTGCTCCAGTCATTAAATGTCGTTAGTACTAAAAAGGTGGACTCTACACCTGCTTCAGTATTATTACTTTCTTTACTATATCGGATAAATGTAATTAGGTGTTTCTTTCACGATTAAACATTTATTAGCATTCTTTTTATTCTAACATACTTTACTGACATTGGTTTTATTTTTATTTCAGCCATTAGTAAGGATTTTCCAATTTCCATAACAACGGTATATTTTGGTTGTCTCGTGGGACTTTTTCTCGTGACTGGAATATGTCATTTAGATGAGTTTACCTGTCTGTTCCAGGGAATCTGGTTCCTACTGTGTCTACCATCCGGGTACATCATGTTGATTATATATAGTGTTGTAAACATAACTGATAGATCGTGGGGTAAGTTATATAAAACATTTCTTGTAGACCATTACTGGTACCTACTTTGTCTACCATCCGGTTACATCATGTTGATTATATATAGCGTTGTAAACATAACTGATAGATCGTGGGGTAAGTTATATAAAACATTTCTTGTAGACCATTACTGGTACCTACTTTGTCTACCATTCGTGTACATCATATTGATTATTTATAGCGTTGTAAACATAACTGATAGATCGTGGGGTAAGTTATACATATCATTTCTCGTTGACATTACTGATACCTACTTGGTCTACCATTCGGGTACATCATATTGATTATTTATAGCGTTGTGAACATAACTGATAGATCGTGGGTAAGTTATACAAAACATTTTTCGTTGCCATTACTGGTACCTATTTGATATACCATTCGATATACCACGTTGATTATTGGGTCTCACTTACTAGCGAGGCGTAGGCAAATCAAGCGACAAGAAGACGAATTTAGCGTCAATACATTTAAATATTGCTTACTTCAAACAAATATATAATTAGCAACATAGTCTTTTCAGTATAGTGCTGATATTTTATGGGAGAAATGTTATGGGCACCGTTAATGTTATTCGTTATTTTTCAAAATATTCATTAACAATAACAGAGGGCCTTGATGGGGTTTACAGAATAGAGCATAATGGGCAAAATGTGCAGAATAGAGAGCTGCAAATATAAAGAATAGAGAAAAATAGGACAAAAAAAATAACGAATGGAGAATAATGGGGTGCTAAAATATAAAGATTAGAGAATAACAGGCAAAATTTATAAAGAATAGAGAAAAATGGCATAAAAAATTAAAGAATACATAACTGAAGAACTGAACCCCCCCCCCTCTCCATCCACACCCTCATAGCAGGCGGATCTGGAATAACCTTCATCAGGCTCTAGCGCCCAAAAGTTAAGAAGATCATAACACTCAGCATCAATGATTCTGTATCAGGTGGTTGTACTGCGAAATATAAGAAATTAATCTGCAATCAGCATCAATGATATTGTATCCGTCTGTCACTTTGACAAGATAGAATATAATTCTACATCGAGCATTAATGATGCTATACCAATCAGTCACTTTGACAAGATGGAATATAATTCTATATCGAGCATCAATGATGCTGTACCAATCAGTCACTTTGACAAGATGGAATATAATTCTACATCGAGCATCAATGATGCTATACCAATCAGTCACTTTGACAAGATGGAATATAATTCTACATCGAGCATCAATGATGCTGTACCAATCAGTCACTTTGACAAGATAGAATATAATTCTACATCGAGCACCAATGATGCTATACCAATCAGTCACTTTGACAAGATGGAATATAATTCTATATCGAGCATCAATGATGCTATACCAATCAGTCACTTTGACAAGATGGAATATAATTCTACATCGAGCATCAATGATGCTATACCAATCAGTCACTTTGACAAGATAGAATATAATTCTATATCGAGCATCAATGATGCTGTACCAATCAGTCACTTTGACAAGATGGAATATAATTCTACATCGAGCATCAATGATGCTATACCAATCAGTCACTTTGACAAGATGGAATATAATTCTATATCGAGCATCAATGATGCTGTACCAATCAGTCACTTTGACAAGATGTAATATAATTCTATATCGAGCATCAATGATGCTGTACCAATCAGTCACTTTGACAAGATGGAATATAATTCTATATCGAGCACCAATGATGCTGTACCAATCAGTCACTTTGACAAGATAGAATATAATTCTATATCGAGCACCAATGATGCTGTACCAATCAGTCACTTTGACAAGATGGAATATAATTCTACATCGAGCATCAATGATGCTATACCAATCAGTCACTTTGACAAGATGGAATATAATTCTATATCGAGCATCAATGATGCTATACCAATCAGTCACTTTGACAAGATGGAATATTATTCTACATCGAGCATCAATGATGCTGTACCAATCAGTCACTTTGACAAGATGGAATATTATTCTACATCGAGCATCAATGATGCTGTACCAATCAGTCACTTTGACAAGATAGAATATATTTCTACATCGAGCATCAATGATGCTATACCAATTTGCCATGCACTTTGACAAGATAGAATATAATTCTACATCGAGCATCAATGATGCTATACCAATCAGTCACTTTGACAAGATGGAATATAATTCTACATCGAGCATCAATGATGCTGTACCAATCAGTCACTTTGACAAGATAGAATATATTTCTACATCGAGCATCAATGATGCTATACCAATTTGCCATGCACTTTGACAAGATAGAATATAATTCTACATCGAGCATCAATGATGCTATACCAATCAGTCACTTTGACAAGATGGAATATAATTCTACATCGAGCATGAATGATGCTATACCAATCAGTCACTTTGACAAGATGGAATATAATTCTACATCGAGCACCAATGATGCTATACCAATCAGTCACTTTGACAAGATGGAATATAATTCTACATCGAGCATCAATGATGCTGTACCAATCAGTCACTTTGACAAGATGGAATATAATTCTACATCGAGCATCAATGATGCTATACCAATCAGTCACTTTGACAAGATGGAATATAATTCTATATCGAGCATCAATGATGCTGTACCAATCAGTCACTTTGACAAGATGGAATATAATTCTACATCGAGCATCAATGATGCTATACCAATCAGTCACTTTGACAAGATGGAATATAATTCTATATCGAGCATCAATGATGCTGTACCAATCAGTCACTTTGACAAGATGGAATATAATTCTACATCGAGCATCAATGATGCTATACCAATCAGTCACTTTGACAAGATGGAATATAATTCTATATCGAGCATCAATGATGCTATACCAATCAGTCACTTTGACAAGATGGAATATAATTCTATATCGAGCATCAATGATGCTATACCAATCAGTCACTTTGACAAGATGGAATATAATTCTATATCGAGCATCAATGATGCTATACCAATCAGTCACTTTGACAAGATGGAATATAATTCTACATCGAGCATCAATGATGCTGTACCAATCAGTCACTTTGACAAGATGGAATATAATTCTACATCGAGCATCAATGATGCTATACCAATCAGTCACTTTGACAAGATAGAATATATTTCTACATCGAACATCAATGATGCTATACCAATTTGCCATGCACTTTGACAAGATAGAATATAATTCTACATCGAGCATCAATGATGCTATACCAATCAGTCACTTTGACAAGATGGAATATAATTCTACATCGAGCATCAATCATGCTATACCAATCAGTCACTTTGACAAGATGGAATATAATTCTATATCGAGCATCAATGATGCTATACCAATCAGTCACTTTGACAAGATGGAATATAATTCTACATCGAGCATCAATGATGCTGTACCAATCAGTCACTTTGACAAGGTGGAATATAATTCTATATCGAGCATCAATGATGCTGTACCAATCAGTCACTTTGACAAGATGGAATATAATTCTACATCGAGCATTAATGATGCTGTACCAATCAGTCACTTTGACAAGATGGAATATAATTCTACATCGAGCATCAATGATGCTGTACCAATCAGTCACTTTGACAAGATGGAATATAATTCTACATCGAGCATTAATGATGCTATACCAATTTGCCATGCACTTTGACAAGATGGAATATAATTCTATATCGAGCATCAATGATGCTATACCAATTTGCCATGCACTTTGACAAGATAGAATATAATTCTACATCGAGCATCAATGATGCTATACCAATCAGTCACTTTGACAAGATGGAATATAATTCTACATCGAGCATCAATGATGCTATACCAATCAGTCACTTTGACAAGATGGAATATAATTCTACATCGAGCATCAATGATGCTGTACCAATCAGTCACTTTGACAAGATAGAATATATTTCTACATCGAGCATCAATGATGCTATACCAATTTGCCATGCACTTTGACAAGATAGAATATAATTCTATATCGAGCATCAATGATGCTATACCAATTTGCCATGCACTTTGACAAGATAGAATATAATTCTACATCGAGCATCAATGATGTTGTACCAATCAGTCACTTTGACAAGATGGAATATAATTCTACATCGAGCATCAATGATGCTATACCAATCAGTCACTTTGACAAGATGGAATATAATTCTACATCGAGTATCAATGATGCTATACCAATCAGTCACTTTGACAAGACAGAATATAATTCTACATCAAGCATCAATGATGCTATACCAATCAGTCACTATGACAAGAAATGATATATTTCTACATCGAGCATCAATAATACTGTACCAATCAGTCACTATGACAAGAATGAATATAATTCTACACCGAGCGCAAAGATGCTGTGTCAAGTTGTCCGACTGTTATGAGTCAAAAAATAATTCTACACTCGGCATCAGTAATCTTGTACTAGGCAGTTGAAAAGTAACAAAATATGTTTACACTCAGCATAAAAAATGTTGTGACAAATCGTCCTAATGTGATTTATATTAGAATCAATGGTGCTATATCAGGCTGTTTGTTAGGTGTTTTGTTTTGTTTTGCTGCTTGTTTTCCTTGTAATAATATATTACAGGGGCAGATCCAGCCATTTTTAAAAGGGGGTTCCAACCAAGGATAAAGGGGGCATTCCGACCATATGTCCCCATTCAAAGCATTGATCGTCCAAAAAAGGGGGATCCGGACCCCCACCTTTTTGGATCCGCCACTGTATTTAATTATTTCTAAAGAGGATAAACGCGGTTCTGGAACCTGATATATTGTATATAAATCTGTCTTTTTGAGACTATATGTTTTTCTCTAGATATCGCTTGTTTGTCTGTGTCACTGTTTCGCTGTCTCGTTGGCGCATTACCCAAATCTCCATTTATACATTTAAAATAATAATACATTAATTAAGACAAGCTTTTTGAAAAGGTAATACTTCTAATACATTAAGGTACACGTGAAGAAAAACAGGAAAATACTATGAAGAAGACAAGTACATGGTATGAATATATCGGCGCTATTCTCAGACAGATATTTTTGTAAGTAAAGAAGAGGGTATTTCATAGGTTGTATTTTTTCGGACAAAAGTTTAAATCACCGATTCAAAGTATAGAGTTCTGTCAATAATTTATTCACCAAAATAGAAATAGAAATAGCGTTATGCCATTGGCTGAAAAATGTTTAAAACAGTATTTACCAATAAAAATGTTTAGAATTAAACTTTCATATACAACCCTGAATGATTTGTAAGGGTCTGGGTAGGTTTTACAGAATAGAAGATAATGGGCTAAATCTACAGCAAAATGGACCAAAAGAATAAAGAATATAGAGAAAAAAATAGGACAAAAAAAATAGAATAGAGAGAAAGAAAATGTATAGAATTTAAGGATAAAAATAAAGTACCCCCATCCAAACTCTTCTGGTTGCATTTATTTCTAAAATGGTTAAATGAACGAAAATGGCATGTTCGATTACACATTACTACAAGTAACCGGCATGTAAAATGTTTTGAAAACTTTAAAATTGTTTCAATATAATAATTCAAACAACGGTTTATTAGAAATACAAAATAGTATGTATGCTTGATCCTTTACAAATTGTTTACTATAATGAACATTTCACAATTATTCTATCATCCTGAACATGCATGAAATGTTTGCCACTGAACGTTAAGGAAACTTTGATCAATCCATCACAATCAGTCTGAATATGCATGAAATATTTGCCACTGGACGTTACTTTAATCGAACACATTGTGTAAATTAGGTTCAGTTGTCGATTCCTTCATTTAACATAGATGTCAACTGGTGTTATTTTGTGACAATTCAAGGTAAAAAGATGGCTGTAGAACAAAACAACTCTTCTAAAGCCAAAACAAATAATTGTTTCATATTTTTCATGTCGGGGCCTTTTATAACCGACTATACGGTATGGGTTTTTCTCATTGTTGAAGGCCGTACGGTTGCCTATAATTGCTTACATCCAATTTATTTGAACTTTGGTTGATAGTTGACAATCATACCTCATCTCCTTATTTTTATACGAGCAACTTTTGTTTTATAAAAAGCATCAAAAGTAAAGAATCAACAAGGCAAAAAAGAATACATGTTTACACTTTATCATTAATGAAGATAATCACGATTATTAAATGTGGTAAAAAATTATTATTTGAGTTGTATGAAAACCTTATGCTCTATATTTGAATTAATAGCTGTTGTGATAAACGGCATGACCAACATGACAATAAACCACCGACGAGCATAGAAACGTCAGACATACCATATGTAGGCCGAAAACGGGTATCCTCAGAAGCAAGTGATATAGAAGGAAGTTTTACGAGATCCTGGCAGGGCAGGCCTACTGGAACCATTTATGAGCATCAAGAAAGCAGAGAAGATCTTCTTAATCAAGGTATAGACGACGTTCTGTATTGGGTTTACATCATGGAATAATGGGGAAAATGTGCAGAATAAAGGAAAAAAAAAATAAGAATAGAGAATAATGGGGTTAAGCAATATAAAGAATAGAGAACATAGGTTAAAATAAATAAAGAATAAAAAAAATGTTCTACAAATTCAAAGAATAAAGAAATTAAAGACTCCCTATCAAGACCTTCAAAGACTGTAATTAATAAAAACATATCCCTCATATGTTTATCGGGAATGTCTATTGATACAGCCCCCAACGGTGCCTGGGTCATAGAAATATAGTCACTTTGGTATTCCGACCGGCAACAAAAACCTTGCCAAAGTAGGGCGTCCGTTTGACTGTGTGGGATGTACAAGTTCGCAGTCACGCCATTCAGAATGGGGACGTTAAATCCGATGCCTCGTGTAAAGAGAGTGCCACGAGCTCTGCACATTAAAACCTTTCCATCAACTGTCTGAGGGGTCTTTAAGATAAAATTTCTATCACTATCCAATATAACCTAATTTTCCAGTAGCAGTCCAAATTTCCTCGACCTTCATCCCGGACGGCCTATATAACATCACCTACTTCGTCCTGAACATGCATGGAATATTTGTCACTGGACGTTAAGTAATCAATTAATCAATATATTGATACATGTATCTTCATTATCGTTAACGGTCATAGAGCTAATAAAAGCGATGTGCCATTGCAAAATTTATTTATTTTAGTTGTACATTCAGGCTACATAAATGTTGATATGTTCAAAGAAATTCGAACAATTCAAGCTTTGATTTTCAGTGATGTTTACATATCACTGATTCGTATTACGATGCTAAACTATAAGTTTCATACAATTTAAACGCCATCGTGAAATTATTGCGTAACTAAAGTTGGTTCTGATTGGCTTCATGGTGCTGTTGTGTAGATTATATTAGCTTAAATGAGTTATAGAATTGGGAATGCCTTACGGAAAGGAGAAGAAAGTAAGCAATGGTAGAAATATATATTCATTAAGTATGTATCTGCTTATAAATAAGTTGTCTGTAAAAAACTGTGTACTTTTTTATCTGCCAGACTAGTTATTGTAAAAGATCGGTAACATCTGTAGCTTTGTCAACACTGATGTTGCAAGTTTGAACCACGCACGCAGCAGGTGCGTTCGATTCCAACCTTAATTGACTAGGATTGCCAGTTTTCCTGCCCAGGGTCGATGGTTCTCACCACGCACTGCGACTTCCTCTACCAACAAAAACTATCCACCACTATATAGCCAATAGTGCTGAAAGTGGCGTTAAACACCAACAATCAATCAATATCCATTAATAAATACGTATTTTTCAAGGAACTGAACTTGCTTTTCAATCCTTATACAGTATACATAACACATACTCAGATTTGTTTATTTGTTAATTTGTTGTTGTTTTCTTTAAGATGATCCATACACTTATGGAGATGAGGATGAAATTATCAAAGTTGACGACTGGTTCCAACAAATAGATCCGGGGTTAAAGGTGATTTTATTTTTCTAAACATATTTTTTAGTTACTGGTTGAAGCCTACGGAATATAAAGAATAATATGCAAAAAAAAAATAAGAGAAAAGAATAAGGTTTATTGTTTTAGCGCTGAAAGGGGGGAGGAGGGGGGAAGGTGTTGGAATGTTAAGAAAGAACAGGAACAATGGACCCACAAGAAGAATGGAGAAAAATGGTCAGAAATATTAAGAATATAGAAATGTAGACCCCATCCAGATTTTATTTATGTGTATAAAACATGGAAAATACTGTATATAGTTCTAAAAAAGAAACTGATACACATACACTACAAATATGATAGAAGGTATATATTTGTAGTGCACTGTTAAACTTTTGCAATTGATAGTATGTGAATATCGTATTATTTATAACTTTCGATACCGAAGGTCGGTAGTTCTCTCGCGTAGTCCAGGTTTCTTGTCTCATGAAAACTGGTCACCACGATAGAGCCAAGACTGATTGCGTATTTGACATAAACTACTATTTTAGACTGATTATGTAGCATTATTGTGTAATTATGTTACAAAACCATTGCAAATTGAATTTGAAGCATTATTTAGTAATTACATGACATGCCAATATTATAAAGTATATTGAATTTTTCAGCACATGTTAGAATAAGGTATAGTTTTGACATGAAATGACTGCCACTTTATTTGAACTTAAGACAAAATAACCATTGATGGCCAAGTGGCGGATCCAGAACTTTTCATAAAGGGGGGGGGGGGGGGGGGGGGGCTGACTGACCTAAAGGGGGGGGGGGGGATCCAGTCATGCTTCAGTGATTCCCTATATAATCAACCAAATTTTTCCCACAAAAGGGGGGGGGGGGCTGACCCTCCTGGATCAGCCTATGGATGCTTGAAATTGCAGAGTATAACATAGAGAGCAACGGGGCTATGAATTAGTGGTTTTATTCTGATTACATTACATTACTATTCCAGACTGAATATGTAGCATTATTACATTACATTACATTACTATTCCAGACTGAATATGTAGCATTATTACATTACATTACATTACTATTCCAGACTGAATATGTAGCATTATTACATTACATTACATTACTATTCCAGACTGAATATGTAGCATTATTACATTCAATTACTATTCCAGACTGATTATGTAGCATTATTACATAACACATTACATTACTATTCCAGACTGAATATGTAGTATTATTACATTACATTACATTAATATTTCAGACTGAATATGTAGCATTATTACATTACATTATATTACTATTACAGACTGAATATGTAGCATTATTCAAGAAACATGGTTACGATGATACCAGCTTCATAGCAAGTATGACTGAAACAGATTTGAAAAGAATAGGAATAAAAAAGAAAACACAGAGAACTATGTTAGAAAATAGAATAAAAGATCTTCCCGACTTTCTCATAGAGGCCGCTGTTCCTGTAAGTGAAATTATATACAAAATTAGAGGGTAAAACTGGTTCCCTGTCTCGTCAAATTAAAAATTAATTGTGTCTCACCCTTAAAATGCGGACCTCGGGGATAAATAAATTTTTCTCGACATCATAATTTTGAATATTAACTTTTGATGAAGGACATACTTATTTGTTGTTAATGTACAAATGAATTCCTCAATGAAATGTGTCTTAAGTACAATCTTTTTCACACGAATCATTTTCTTGCTAGCTGTTTCAATTTATGAAAAAAATATCCATACAATATTTTTCGCCAAATAAAGAAAGAAAAACACACATCTCTTACATTTTCACACTTTTCTGACAATTATTTTTATAAGAAATCTTCTATACTTCATTCTTTAAATAAATTATAAAATAATGTAGATAACAGTTTAAACGATTTAAGTCTAATTTGCAAAAACAAAGTATGTCCAGGCGAAAAATCACATCTGCTCTGAACTATTTTGCTTGCGTATTAATTCATACGCGTGACATTATGAAATGGTTTCATATATGTACACATTTTTATGGTTACTATGACGCCCACAAATGAATTAAGGCCTTACATAAACGTTGAAATATTGTAGGACAACGTAGATACCTGGTTAAAAGACATTGGTTTACATCAGTATAAATCAGCTTTCACAAAATGTCACATAAAGAAAACAAAAGATCTGGAACAGTTAAAGACGTTTGAAAAGAAAGATATTGAGAATGAACTTGGAATTACAAAAGCAGGTAACTTGTGAGGACGTGTTTCTCTCTAGATGGCGTTTGGTAATTATGGCGATGAGTTGCTGTCTCTTTGACGTATAACCAACATATTTTTTTTAATAAGAAATACATGTCGTTGTTTTTGTTTCTTAATATTTATACTCTTTTGCTAAAGTTGATCTACCTATTACAACAACGTTAGCATCATATCTGTTGAACCATTATGCCCCACACATTAATTTACCTTTTCTGCCAGTCCTTCAGTCCGTCTTTTCGTTCGTCCGTTCGCCAATTCGTCAAAAAAATATTTTCGTCATACTTTTCTCATGTATCAAAGAACATGATGACTCCATATTTGGTCAACAGCTTGACAGTGGCGACTCGGTTGAAACCTATGAGCATATTTTGGATCTGTCTGACACCGTCATATGTTCTCCAATATACTTTGATATGCTTAGCACGACAACCCGTGCATTTGTCTTACAGTTGATACAATTATTTATTAAGAACGTTATATATATTGATAAATTAATTTTGATACTGTTTAAATAGAATTTTTCTGCATGCATTGTATTTATCACAAATGACAGAGCATTTAAAAACTTCAGGGTAATCGAAAACATATTAAGGAGAACTCATTTACTTTATAGTTTGTTATATGTTACAGTAGTTCTTTATCTTCTTTTCAGCTCATGTGAGACGTTTACAAGAGGCAATAAAATACTTGAGAACGCCTACAAAAGGTTTGTAAATTTAAACAGTACAAGTACAGGTTGACTTTTAAAAAAGTCAAGTCAAGTTATTTTTTTGAAAATTAAATCGATGTAATAAGATACCCGTATGTTTATTCTCGCTATATAAAAATAAGGAGATGTGGCCTATAACCAAAATGTTTTACATTGTGTCGGCTTTTGAACGGAATTCTGTGAATCCTAAAAAAAACCGCATACAGATAGATTTGTTTTTTTCTTTAATTTATAAATAGAATAGATCTAGATTTCTTTTTTATTATTTTTTTCTGGGGGGGGGGGGAGGTCCAAATTTAGGTTTTGTTTTTATAATCAACTCTTTTTTTAATTTATCGCTTCTCTTTGTACATTTACTTTCAAATTTTTATTATTGTAGAGGAGCTCTTGCATGCTGAGATAAAACAAAGACTGGACAATGCTATTAAACATGACATACAGAAAATAAACTCTACAGAGTATGAGTTCTGGAAACTTCTGACAGAAACACATCTAAAACCAACATCGGAAGCTTTTAGCCTACTGGGACAGTTAAAGAGTAAGAGATCTTACCTAATTACTAATATGTTTGTATTCCGAATATCAACTTTCTTTTTTGTTTAGATTAATATGTAGCACCAAAATATAGTACGTCACATCCGATTAAAATAATCCACAAATAATCCCCTTTAATTCTACAGTTGTAGAAAAACTAACTTTGCATTTTACCGCAGACAGTTTTTTTTTTTCTTTTGCCATAAATAAAAACGTATACCTAAAAAAAACAAGTAATTTAATTTATGCGGAGTAAAAACATAAAATACAACAATTTGATATATTCAGAAAACCAGCAACGTTTCTATGGCGACAGACATGTTCTCATAATATTCAATTTAAATGCACAAAAGTTTTCGATGAATAAATAAAAAGAAATGTGGTGAAATGGCCGGGTGACAACAATCTTTTTCTATTGCAGTAAAACTAGAAGAACTAAGGAACACTTGGTTGATGATTTTATTAGCGGTTAACTCCCTTTGGCTAGTGTTGATTTCAACACTTGCGTCAAAGATAAACTTATTAGTCCTTGGAAGTAATCCAGTCGGTAGGTACATGTATGAATGAACGAATGAATGAACGAATGAATGAACGAATTAAAATTGATAGATTAATTGTAAATCAGCAATTATTATAGTTCATTTTACGAAAGCGTTTCTCACTAGATTTTATTTTTCAAACAATGACCACGGTAAAATATGTTTTAGTTAGACATGTTGAAGAGAGGAAGTAGCTGCACAATTGCAAAACAAAAGTAATATTACACATTTAAAATGCATTCTTTTACTCTTAATCATGTAAAATGAGAAAAAATACCAAGTTGCCAATCGAAATTCATAAAGCCATAAAACAGACAACAACATGGCAAAAATAGAAACGACGAAAAAAACAACAATAACAAATCATGACACGGAAAATTAAAGACTGCATGAGCTACACGAGCTCATGTGCCCCGAAAGATTAAGCTGAGTTCTTATTCCACACGCCGGTCCCGTAAGTTATCATCTATATAACAATAATTTATTTTTGGATGCGTCTTCTGATTGACTGAAAGTTTTTTGTCTATAAGCTCAGAGACATAAGTTTGGCATGTGACCGTGACGTCATCAATGATTTTTTCATGATTTACTCCTTAAAACGGATTTTAGAATTAAATTATAAGGAATGACTGTAATATTTTTTCTGTCTATTCGAAATAACCTCAAAAATGTGGTGCACAATTTAAATAACCCACTACGCGGTTATTCAATGTGCACCACATTTTTGATGTTATTTCTTCATAAACAGATAAGAATATTACAGTCATTCCTTAAAAGATACAATCATTGCTTAGATATACATCGTTTTACGTAAGTAAAAACGACAAGAGTGTCAAAAACAAATGTTTCAATCTTGAAAAGTTAAAAAAAAAAACACACACACACACCTATGAAGACATGTACATACAAACAAACAAGGCCTGGTCAATACGAAGTCACTTATTAGATGTACAGAAGAGGTAATCATAATTGTGTTTGAAATGCGCTAATTTTCTGCATTGATTCGTTTAATATGGAAAGATACATACAAATTATATACTAGGAACTTTTAACAATTATACCTAAACTAAGGCACACAAAAACTGTTGAGACTATTGTTATAAAGACTATATATAACTCATTATATCGACTTTGAAATAAATAGATATATAAGAAACTTTCTTATTTTCAAGTTTGTCAGAAATCTTTTTTTTTTTAAATTTAACATTCAGATTTCATATTTAAACTCTAAATATTTTTTTTATACATAATATATAATGTATCAAATGAATGTCTTACATAATGTAAATGTTAAATAAGATCACCCGGGTGTGCATGAAATAAATGTTAATGGGCGATAATTTAAAAAAAAAACAATTTATTAATTGATATTCTCAATGCAACGAATTTTAAATTTTAAAGGGTATTTCTAACTAAAATATGAGTATTTTTAAACTGTATTCAAATTTGAATTTCGTTTTCAGGATTTTTGTTCCTACTAGTAAGCGGAGTTATGCTTTCATTACAATTTATATCGATGCTTTCTCATCGTCTGTTTACTCTCCGCCATTTTCTTGCTAGGGCGCCATATAGGTTTGGGCATGCGTACAAATCTAGCTGGTCATATAAAACAATAGAAGATCAAAGTGCTGCGGTTGAAGTGCAAAGAGCAGAAGTACAATGTAGTCATGTCGCTCATAATCGGTCGAAACGAAAACATAAAAAATCCGAAAATAACGAAGAGACGTTACCGTTAATTCCTTTTGGTCGGGAGGATGAACAATACAAGACTGTATAAAAAGGAGTATTAACTATCGGTCTTTTTACCTATGTCTACGGTACGGAAGCGTATATATGACGTAAAAAAAAATTATGTTAACATTGACTTTTTACAGTCAAAATCCGAAAATAACGAAGTGACGTCACTGTTAATTCCTTTTGAACAGGAGGATGAACAATACAAGATTGTATAAAAAAGAGTATTATCTATCGGTCTTGTTACCGATGTCTACGGTACGGAAGCGTATAGATGACGTATAAAAAAAATGAAGTTAACATTGACTTTTTACAGTCAAAATGTTTACATTTAAAATCTTGAAATTACAATTTTTAAAAACTCTAAATCTGAAATTTTTAACTATAAATTTCGATATTTCATAACTCAAAATTTCAACTTATTTAAACTCAAATTTGAGTTTTTATATTTTGGAATTTCCGTCTATAAGTATTATACGCTTCTGTACATACTGATCTTGGTAAAGACATCACTTTTTTTAATGACAACGAAGGAATGTGTATTCCTCTCCAACTTCAACACAACTATAACATAATCCGTATTCCGTTGGATTATCTAGCTTTATGTCGTACTGTTTCTGTGTTTTGGATTATCTAGCTTTATGTCGTTCTGTTTCTGTGTTTTGGATTATCTAGCTTTATGTCGTTCTATTTCTGTGTTTTGGATTATCTAGCTTTATGTCGTTCTGTTTCTGTGTTTTGGATTATCTAGCTTTATGTCGTTCTGTTTCTGTGTTTTGGATTATCTAGCTTTATGTCGTTCTGTTTCTGTGTTTTGGATTATCTAGCTTTATGTCGTTCTGTTTCTGTGTTTTGGATTATCTAGCTTTATGTCGTTCTGTTTCTGTGTTTTGGATTATCTAGCTTTATGTCGTTCTGTTTTTGTGTTTTGGATTATCTAGCTTTATGTCGTTCTGTTTCTGTGTTTTGGATTATCTAGCTTTATGTCGTTCTGTTTCTGTGTTTTGGATTATCTAGCTTTATGTCGTACTGTTTCTGTGTTTTGGATTATCTAGCTTTATGTCGTTCTGTTTCTGTGTTTTGTATTATCTAGCTTTATGTCGTTCTGTTTCTGTGTTTTGGATTATCTAGCTTTATGTCGTACTGTTTCTGTGTTTTGGATTATCTAGCTTTATGTCGTATTGTTTCTGTGTTTTAGCTAAATGTATTCAATCTGTTGCAATCAATAGCCATCTTGCTTTTTTTTAATTTTGAGCTGACTAGACTATTCAAATCCTGTTTACAGTTGTTGCTCAAGTTTGATTATTTCTGTAAAACTTTCTCTTCCTATTATTTTTTAAAACAAATTTTCTTAAATCTATATTTTTTTGAAAATTCATATTTAATTATTTTTATTTTACGTGAATGTTTTTTAAATGCACTACAATTAAAACAAATTTATCGAGCTTTTATGTGAAGTGTTACAGTATATGCCATAATTGATTAAAGTAAGCTCCCTTTAATACTGGATTAATGTTGTTTGTAGTTAATTTACAAAAAAAAAAAGAGTTTGAATAAACGAGTCAATTAGAAGTCCCCCCCCCCCCCCCCCCCCCCCCCCAAAAGCTCCGATGAACTCATGTACTGTAACATTTCTTTTGTATAAATTAATCTTAATTTCTCTCTCTAGGAAAACATTATTTTAGATATCGCAGACTTTATCATTTATTTGTTATTATATGTAGATCTATAGAAGATTCGATAACTTTGTGAAATAAAATAATTGGATAATAAATAAAACTTGATGTCGTCTTAAAACTTACTTTATCTACTTACAGGTCTTGTGTTTCTACTTATATTCGGCGTTCTTCTTTTAGTGCAATTTTTCTGCATGCTATTTCATCGTCTTTCTACGCTTGCGCATTTCCTTGCTCGAGCTCCTTATAGATTCGGACATGCGTACAGGTCAAGTTGGTCATACAAGAATGACGAGGATATCGCGGCAGTGGCAGCGGCTAAAAGAGCCGAAAAAGAATGCCGCCAGAGAGAACGTAATCGTGTCAGAAACAGACAGAAAGGTACTCGACTTCCGGAGGATGAAAGGTCGCCATTAATAAAGATTGATACTGTATAATTACTTATTTTGTATTTTTCATAAACTTATTGTTTAAAGTTTATATGGCAATAAATATTTGAATTTGAATTTAAATCTTTGTAGATTCCATTGTTGTACCTTGACAACATTCATTTTCATAGACAACTACTTTTATACATCGGTGTTGATACGATTTAAATGATATCTTGTTTGTTAATTTCCAGTAAATAAAATATGTAATTGTATAAAGCTAAGGTTCCAAATCCCTCAGGCAAAGATGTCATTTGACTTAAATTTTTTTCTGTTATGTTTAAACCTTTGTTGCAAATGTCGTGCCCACATTATGCATATACAAAACATTTCAAATGCAAAGAATTTCATTCTTGTCATGATTGTAAGCATTGTGTAAAACTCACTTTTAATTTTTCACTGCCTCTGTAGTGAAAAAACAATTATCCTGTATGCATGCCTTTTCGACAAATGTGTCTTGGTATTTTCGAAAACACAACTATTCCCAAATATCTCAAGACATGATCATTGGATATGAATTGTGTTTTTAAAATAAACAAAGAGGAATTTTTTTTTGCCAAAAATTATATATAAAATGTGACTTCTGATTTATATGAAAGAAGCTCAACTGTTTTGCCTTGCAATACTAAAAAAAGTAAAAAATGAAATCTGTATGTCCATTCTGATGTAAACTTCTCTGTATGTCCTTTAGAATATAAACTTCTCTGTATGTTCGTTCGAATGTATCTTCAATAGTGCACCAGTTGTTTGACGATGAAGACTTGTAGTTATGCGTATAGACGTTTATTGAGATTATTGTAAGTCCGTTTATCTGGGTAAAAGGGGGTAATTTTATAAGTCAGAACTTTCGTATATTTGTCCAAAAGTCGTAAAATAATCTGTGTTATTTAGAAGCTTTGAATATATATATATTAAAATGATTAATACAAACGTTTTGACGATTTCCATGTGTTATGTCCCTTACCTTTGTCCTTCATTTTGCTTCAAGTATTCATTCATGAAATTAAAATTTCAATTTAAATTTCATAAATTTTAACATAATTTTTGGGATTTGAAATTGACCAAATAATGAAATATGCTTACCTTATAACTAGTTACTCTGATTGATCATTGATTATAGTTGAAATAAAGCATTATGCTTTCAAAGTACGACTATCTACATTGTTACTGATTGTATCATACTTTATTTACTTTTGTGTTAATATGTTAATTGTTACCGTTAATAAATGTATGACCTCCTCAAAGCATTGATTTTTAAAACATCGGCATTTGTACGTGGTATTCAAATTATTTCGACAGTTTTTTTTTATGTACACATGTTAATAATTTATCAACAACAACAAAACAGCAAAATTAATCACCTTCATTTTAATTATAAATGCAAAAAAAAAACGTTATGTAGATGTGCACACATTTCTTATGATATATATTTCCTGATACAACAAATGTCAAGTGGAACAGACCGTTTCCTGGTTTCCTATACCAGTCGTAATAATAAGCAATGCCAAAGGTTGCTCAGTGTGTAAACGTTTCGGGAAGCGTACACAAAGATTATTAGTCCTCACACTCGTAGCCAAAAGGGGGGGGTTCCGAGGGGTTCGTACACCCCCCCCCCCCTTTTTGAAAACAAATAAGCACTGTTAAAGTCGACGTTCTGTTTGAATTGTAACTGTTACTTAAAGTGAGCTTCGCGAGTCCATGTGTCCACCCCCCCCCCCCCCCCCCCCACCCCCCCCTCACCCCCACTCCCCTGGAAATTACTGACTACGGGCCTAGTCCTATACGTTATGCCAGATGAAATTATTAGGTTTTATACTCAACAGAAACTGTTTCGTGTAGTTTGTACCTTTCGGTACCCTCTGGTTTTGTCGTAATGATACACACCTTAAAAAATCTGAAGGCTGAAATTGCATTGGCTGATGTCATAATTACCAGAACAGAAAGTAGAACGAAGAGTTGACAGCTCATTGTAAATAAAGCGTGGACACATGATATGTATTTCAATCAGATTGCAGCTTGTTTAAATTTAGAGCAATTCCAGTTTCAGTTTTGATAGTGCTTCGTAACGAAGTGACTACCAATTTAGCGGCCAATGTATTTTGTGGTTTGGTGGTTTATTGTTTTCGTGTTTGTAGAATAGCTTCATTTGTACATGTAACATACGAATACGAGATGCAAACCTTTTTTGATTGGTTAATTCTTTGCACTGTTAATTAGAGACATAATTAATCTAGATAATTTCTGTGTATAGATATAAGAAGATGTGGTATGAGTGCCAATGAGACAACTCTCCATCCAAGTCAAAAAGGAATCCATTATAGGTCACAGTACGGTCTTCAACACGGAGCCTTGGCTCACACCGAACAGTAAGCTATAAGGGGCCCCAAAAAATTACTAGTGTAAAACCATTCAAACGGGAAAACCAACGGTCTAATCTATATAAAAAACGAGAAACGAGAAACACTTATGAACCACATCAACAAACGACAACTACTGAACATCAGATGTATATTTCCCTCGTTTGGGAGACTTGGTAGTTTAATCTCGGGTGGATCAAACCAGATACTCTAAAAGTTGGTGTTTTCTCCACCAAGCAGACGATACACTGGAAAAGGAAAAAAAACGACTGATCAGCTCACAGCATACAGAGAAAGAATAAGAAGATGTGGCATATGACTACCTATGAGACAACTTTCCACAAGAGATCAGATGACGTAATAGCTAACTTTTGGTCACCGCACGTTCTTCAACAATGAACAAACCATAACGCATATCAAGCTATAAAAAGGCCCCACCATGACAAATGTAAAACAGTTCAAATGAGAAAAGTAACGGCCTGGTTTATGTACAAAACATCAAACGAAAAACAAATATGACAAATACCAACAAACGACATCCACTTAATCACATACAGGATTCTGACTTAGGACAAGAATACCAACAAACGACATCCACTTAATCACATACAGGATTCTGACTTAGGACAAGAATACCAACAAACGACATCCACTTAATCACATACAGGATTCTGACTTAGGACAAGTATACCAACAAACGACATCCACTTAATCACATACAGGATTCTGACTGAGGACAAGAATACCAACAAACGACATCCACTTAATCACATACAGGATTCTGACTTAGGACAAGAATACCAACAAACGACGTCCACTTAATCACATACAGGATTCTGACTTAGGACAAGAATACCAACAAACGACATCCACTTAATCACATACAGGATTCTGACTGAGGACAAGAATACCAACAAACGACATCCACTTAATCACATACAGGATTCTGACTTAGGACAAGAATACCAACAAACGACATCCACTTAATCACATACAGGATTCTGACTGAGGACAAGAATACCAACAAACGACATCCACTTAATCACATACAGGATTCTGACTTAGGACAAGAATACCAACAAACGACATCCACTTAATCACATACAGGATTCTGACTGAGGACAAGAATACCAACAAACGACATCCACTTAATCACATACAGGATTCTGACTGAGGACAAGTACATACAGACTCATCATATTGACACAAGCCACACAACAACCAGCAACTGACAAACAGACTTAAGGATGTTCGCTCCTCTTGTTTTTGACTTTTTGTCAGATATTCGGAATCCTCTAGTTTTATCCATGTAGTGCCAATAAACCCCGCTAACCCCTACTTTTCTTTTCATAATTTTAATACATGTAGTTTGACCAGCCATTTATGAAAATCTTATAAAATCCTTGTTATTTTTTCATAGTTTTTGAAAGGCAAAAGGTGCCAGTGTTAAATGTATGAAAAATCTAGAGAGAATCATTTCCCGCCATATTTTCAATTGATTATATCTCGAAAACAAGGTCACTGACCTATCATTTTTTTCAGCTGTTTAATTTCTGTTATTTATATACTATCAATTTATAATAGTCATTTAAAAATCTTGTTATTTTTAAACAGAGGAGCGAACATCCTTAAGACAGAAAGTACCAATCTGAGAGTATCCACAGTTACTGAAAGCTTAGTCCAGAGGCAATAACACCTTATAAAAAAATATTGTATCCAAGCCTAAAATATCAATCAGTACACATCCAATGAGTTTAGTGTAAATACGTCAAACAGTCAGAGAATGACTTCCTGTGAACTGTTACTATGTAAACTAACAGGACGATAAAATCCGACTCAATATCACAAAGCAGGTTTAATTATATTAAATCAACATTTTATTTCCTGTGTTTAATACATATTAAGTAGGATAAAACGAAATTTACCAATACCCACCTCCAATAATCTACTTTTCCGAATTTTTAATCTGCCCCGGGACATTAAAGCGTTCATCCTCCAATTTAATACGGCACCGACCATTCAGTTTTTGTTGTTAATGGAGGATGGGGCATTTTTTTTTTTCTCCCTCTTAGAAAAACATCTTTTTTTGGCTTTAATCAAAACCAAAAAATGTTTTCAATAGAATACAAGAACACAACGAATCTCAGTCATTACCTAATTTTCAATGAAAGTAATTTTTTTTTCATTGCCCTTCTAAAACATTTTTTTTTAATCAAGATAATTAGAATCAAACATTTTATTTTTGAAGAAAGCATGCCCTCCACAACAAGTAAATAGTCGATGCCTTAGACCTCACAAAAATAAAACATTTTAGGAAAAAAATCTATCAAATATTTATATTTTTCATTTTACAATGTGAAAACAGGTGTTAACTTCAAACACTTGACTTTTGACCTCATATTGTCTAAATAGTCTATGTATTGTTTCCTCATTATCTAAAATAATATATTTCCGTATTTGCTCAGGAAATCATAATTAAGTTTTCACATCAATGCAACTGGTTCGTATCAAGTTTTAAGTCCATTCATTCTTGGTCATGTTCCATGCAATAAACAGATATATGTTTTTATATTCCATGCAATAAGAACTGAAAACTAATGAATAAAAGGAGATGTGGGATAAACGTCAATGAGACTGCAACCCAACGACATAAATTACCAAAGGACATAAATTACCAAAAGACATAAATTACCGAAAGACATAAATTACCGAAAGACATGAATTACCGAAAGACATAAATTAAATTACCGAAAGACATAAATTAAATTACCGAAAGACATAAATTACCAAAAGACATAAATTACTGAAAGACATGAATTACCGAAAGACATAAATTACCGAAAGACATGAATTACCAAAAGACATGAATTACCAAAAGACATAAATTACCGAAAGACATAAATTACCGAAAGACATAAATTACCAAAAGACATAAATTACCGAAAGACATAAATTACCAAAAGACAGACATGAGTTACCAAAACACATAAATTACCAAAACACATAAATAACCGAAACACATAAATTACCAAAATACATAAATTACCAAAAAGTTATATTACAAAAATACTGAACTCCGAGGAAAATTCAAAACGGAAAGTTCTAAATCAAATGGCAAAATCAAAAGCACAAACACATCAAACGAATGGACAACAACTGTCATATTCCTGACTTGGTACAGGCATTTTCTTATGTAGAAAATGGTGGATTAAACCTGGTTTTAAAGCGCTAAACCTCTCACTTGTATGACAGTCGCATCAAATTCCATTATATTGACAAGGATGTGTGAACAAAACAAACAGACACAATAGGTAAAAATGTCACAAATAGGGGTACAACAGCAACACGAACCCCACCAAAAACTGGGGTTGATCTCGGGTGCCCCGGAAGGGTAAGCAGATCCTGCTCAACACGCGGCACTCGTCGCGTTGCTCATATTATTACAAAGCCGGTAAATAGTCTAACGCGGTAGGTCACATTCGTGAAAAGGGAACGGGATTGTAGTTACGACATAATGAACATATCCGATATCATCTGTGAAACGGATATTCCACAACGGTCAACCAACCCGTGATGGCGTCCGTAAAATTTACAAAGTGATGATTTCAACTTCGCCATTTGAAACTCTTGGTCTAAAAATGAAAATTCACAATTGGGAAGCCGAAATCATCTCTTTTGTCGTAAAGTTTTGTTTTCGACCGACCCTCATAGTCAATATCTAGATATAAGTCCTAATCAAATGGCAAAAATCAAAAAGCTCAAACACATCAAACGAATGGATAACTACCAAAAGACACAAAGAATGCAACATGCAGTCTTCAGCAATCGACCGATGCTCTATAGAATATTTCAAGATTTAAATTGTCAATCTTGTTCCATGCAATATGAAAAGAAAACCTGTCTACTATGTTATACATGTATTTAGTTCATTCATTAACTCATTTATTCCATCTGTATTTTAATTCATAAATGTTGTAATAGTTTGTAAATGGCAACTCACATAAGCAAAGCTTTTTTCATATTATGGTCTAGACTTTAATTCTTTTTAGTCCATTTTTTGGGGATAATGCTCTCAACACTTTATATTTTTAACTTTTGATCACGACTTTACCGGATGAAGTATATTCAAGAAAAACGCATCGTACTTACGACAATGGCTATCATAAGGTTTGTTGTCAAATTCATACGATATGGTAGAGACCTACGGTTTGAAGAGTCGATGTTCAAAACGTCAAAACCAAAAAAGTCTCACATAAACAACAACAAATGATCGTATTTCACTGTTTTCGTCTCGATTGATTCCGACTGCATAATTTTAAACACAACACGTACTGACTGTAAATAATTCTGATTAAAAAATTACATAAATTGTGTGTTTCGTCATTTCGATTTCTTTAGTACAGTTCAAAAGATTCAGCGGTACACAAGGTACATAAAAAAAATTAGTAAAAAAAAAACGAAAAAAATACAATCTGATGTCGTCTGGAATAACGGTTTCACGTGACAGAACTACACATATCTATGACGACATCCACGTACCTGTGCCACGTGCAGAAACTTTTGAGGAACAACATTACTGCCAGCCACCGAAAATAACGAAGGAGACATTCCCTACGCGTATTTCACACCATTACGAAAAAGTTGTTGGATTAGCAAAAACAAAAAAGAACCGGATGTGCGTTTTTGGTATCGTTTCCTCGCTGGTGGCCATTTTCAGTTTAACTGGTGCAATCATTTTCAGTATTTTCTATGCTAAGCCAGCGATCTGTGATAAATTACTCAAAGGTATGTTGAAACGATAAAAATATACAGAAAGGTTTCTCAAAACATAGAAGATATTATCTTTCTGACAAATTGTGGTAATATGCTATAAATTGTTACTTGGATGGAGAGTTGTCTCATTGGCACTCATACCACATCTTCCTATATCTATTAAAAAAGAGGGGTACCAAAAATCGGTAAGATATAATCAAATACTAAAAGTCGATAATAGAAGACTGCGCATGGATAAAGAAAAGAGACGAACAGAATTAAAAATAAAACAATGCAAAGAAACCTTGAATTTATTTGTCCCTTATCTCGAGCATCAATATATATATTGTTAGTCAAATGTGTTTTGTTTAAATATACTTTTTCACTTTTTTGGTCTTTTGGAAAATGTTGTTTGTGCTGTATTTAGACCCCTCTACCAAGAAATTTGTTTTGCATGCACACGTATAAAAATTGCGGTTTTTATCCAACGCAATCATAGGTTTGAACGTTGTTTTCAATTTAGACTTATTTATATTTTTTCGTTTGGGCTTGTATTATATTTGCCTCCGGGTTTATATGATCCGTTCATCCTATTTCGACTCTTTAAAATTCAAGAGTCTATCCTAAATTGAGGTAAATTATATGGCCTTCCAAATACCGTTTCGATTCCTAACATCACTGAAGAGACATTAATTGTCGAAATCCGGATATGGTGTACAAATTTTTGCACCTCATGTTTGCGGTATACCATCTTTTCCGCAAGTTTATTGTTTATTGTTTTCTGATTTGGTATTATTAAATAAAGATCCATTTTGTTACATCTTGTGATCCGTTTATTTGGCAATCGCCAATGGCAGTCAGCAGGGTTTAAGAACATCCGTTGTTCGACCTGTTGGTCAAATGCGTTTTGTTTAAATATACTTTTTCACTTTTTTGGTCTTTTGGAAAATGTTGTTTGTGCTGTATTTAGACCCCTCTACCAAGAAATTTGTTTTGCATGCACACGTATAAAAGTTGCGGTTTTTATCCAACGCAATCATAGGTTTGAACGTTGTTTTCAATATAGACTTATTTATATTTTTTCGTTTGGGCTTGTATTATATTTGTCTTCGGGTTTATATGATCTGTTCATCCTATTTCGACTCTTTAAAATTCAAGAGTCTATCCTAAATTGAGGTAAATTATATGGCCTTCCAAATACCGTTTCGATTCCTAACATCACTGAAGAGACATTAATTGTCGAAATCCGGATATGGTGTACAAATTTTTGCACCTCATGTTTGCGGTATACCATCTTTTCCGCAAGTTTATTGTTTATTGTTTTCTGATTTGGTATTATTAAATAAAGATCCATTTTGTTACATCTTGTGATCCGTTTATTTGGCAATCGCCAATGGCAGTCAGCAGGGTTTAAGAACATCCGTTGTTCGACCTGTTAGTCAAATGCGTTTTGTTTAAATATACTTTTTCACTTTTTTGGTCTTTTGGAAAATGTTGTTTGTGCTGTATTTAGATCCCTCTACCAAGAAAATTGTTTTGCATGCACACGTATAAAAATTGCGGTTTTTATCCAACGCAATCATAGGTTTGAACGTTGTTTTCAATTTAGACTTATATATATATTTATTACCTTATAAAGAGTATTTTACTGTTTTATTAATATTTCTATATTATTTGCTATTTTTCTGCCATTTTTTGTTTCATGGTCTATTGCACTGGAAATTATCGTTCTATTGCACCTGTGTGCAGTCTATTGCACTGACCTGTTATGACCTCTTATTCTGAAATCTGATTAGTTGAAAGGTATTCATGTTGTCCAATCAAATTGGGTCTTTTAAACGTTCTTGTGTTTATTGTTTTGGTTGTACATGTATGCTCCTTACACATTATAATTAATACAGTTGTTACTTTCATGTGTTTTATTTCTAAGAATTTGTTAGAACTGACTCAGTTTGTATAAGGTAATAAAACAGTTATTGAATGTGTAACAGTGCAATAGATCAAAATATATTTCCCTCGGTATGAAGATCAGCTCATTGTTCTATTGCCCGAAGCCAACCATACCTCGGGAAATATATTTTGATCTATTGCATAGTTACATATTAAATAACTGTATAATATATATATACAAGTCTAAATTGAAAACAACGTTCAAACCTATGATTGCATTGGATAAAAACCGCAAAACGTATATACGTGTGCATGTAAAACTCATTTCTTGGTAGAGGGGTCTAAATACAGCACAAACAACATTTTCCAAAAGACCAAAAAATGAAAAGTATATTTTAACAAAACGCATTTGACTAACAGGTCGAACAACTGATGTTCTTAAACCCTGCTGACTGCCATTGGCGATTACCAAATAAATTGATCACCAGATGTTACATGGATCTGAATTATTAATTTTAATACCAAACAGAAAACAATAAACTTGCGAAAAGATGGTATATCGCAAAAAATAAAGTGATTTTTTTTTTTTTTGTACACCATATCCGGATTTCGACAATTAATGTCTCTTCAGTGATGTTAGGGATCGAAACGGTATTTGGAAGGCCATATAATTTACCTCAATTTAGGATAGACTCTGAATTTTAAAGAGTCGAAATAGGATGAACAGATCATATAAACCCGAAGGAAAATATAATACAAGCCCAAACGAAATATATTCCAAAAGACCAAAAGAGTGAAAAAATATATTTTAACAAAACGCATTTGACTAACAGGTCGAACATGTATAGTAATGTCATTTGGTCTCTATTGAGATTCCATTGTCAATCATACCACACCTAATTTTCATAATTAACCTTGTTGTCGTCGAGATATGAAGTACATGGAAGTATTATAAAAATTTCTGAATATTTGACACGTTGTGCAATTACATTTAAATCTATACATTTGTGTTCCAGCAAATACTCAACAATCCAGCCATGACAGTTGTGCAAACAGGTCAATTGAGCTGGAAACAGGAAACAACAATGACTTGATTGGTAAAAACATTTTGCTGTTCCAATATTTTGGTTGCTCAAAAACAATACTGTCTCAAGCATCACTTAATATTTGCCAATTGTCTCAAGCATCATGTTAATTTTGCCAATTGTCTCAAGGGTGCATCACTTTATATTTGTAAATTGTCTCAAACATCAATATATATTTGCCAATTTACACAAGCAGCAATATATACTAGTATTTGTTCATTTTCTGAATCATCACTTTATATTGGCCAATTATCGCAAGCATCATTATATATTTGCCAATTGTCTCAAGCATCACTTTATATTTATCAATTGTCTCAAGCATCATGTTAATTTTGCCGATTGTCTCAAGGGTGCATCACTTTATATTTGTAAATTGTCTCAAACATCAATATATATTTGCCAATTTACACAAGCAGCAATATATACTAGTATTTGTTCATTTTCTGAATCATCACTTTATATTGGCCAATTATCGCAAGCATCATTATATATTTGCGAATTGTCTCAAGCATCACTTAATATTTGCCAATTGTCTCAAGCATCACTTAATATTTGCCAATTATCTCAAGCATCATGTTAATTTTGCCAATTGTCTCAAGCATCACTTTATATTTGTAAATTGTCTCAAACATCAATATATATTTGCCAATTGACACAAGCAGCAATATATATTTGTCCATTTTCTCAAGCATCACTTTATATTGGCCAATTGTCGCAAGTATCACTATATATTTGCCAATTGACACAATCAGCAATATATATTTGTCCATTTTCTCAAGCATCTCTATATAATTGTTAATTGTCTCAAACATCAATATATATTTGCCAATTGACACAAACAGCAATATATATTTGTCCATTTTCTCAAGCATATTCAGTCCACATTCTTGCTTTTATAAGAAACAAAGAAAAACAAATTTGCACAAGGCTGGTCACTTGGACTTATTTCTGAACGCCAATTAAACCTTTGCCTAAGTGGGATGTGCGTTTGGATGTGCGGGATGTATAAATACACAGCAACATAAAATTTAAAATGGAAATGGGGAATGTGTCAAAGAGACAACAACCCGACCAAAGAGCAGAAAACAGCCGAAGGCCACCAATGAGTCTTCAACACAGCGAAAAAATCCCGCACTTCAGCTGGTCCCTAAACAAAATGGCAACGTCTGTTGCTTATGGGAACGTTTACCCGATGCATCGTGTAGTAAGAGTGCAATGCTCTTTGGCTGTAAAGAACCATTTGAACACATCTTTATTGTACTGGTTAGTGGCCTGTTTCAAGGCAAAATTGTGTCATCTATCCCTCATTCTGTTATTTCTAGTGTCAGTCGAAATTCCCCCCATCACTCCGGTCGGCCTATTTCAAAGAACCCACCTATTGTAGTAAACGGTTGGTTCTCGTCCGAGATTAATATGAAACAATTACCACTGGAAGCAAGCAATCAACAATCATCCAATCTAATAATAAAGATATATTAATATTAAGGGTTTGAAATAAAAAAAAAACTACATGTATATTTTCCCATTTCAGAAAATTGGTTGATGGTTTGTAAACCGTCTGGAAATCAAGGTGGAACCAGTATAATCTGCCCTGAGTCGAAATCAGTTGTGATCACTAAAGTGAACATTACATGGTACACTTATACGGGACAGACGAACATGCCGAACTGTGATGTTTCGCCAAGCTGTATTAAACCAAGTGATAATATTACGGATTATATGAGAATTTATTGTGCTGGAAAGCCTTCTTGTGTGATAGATTCTAAGTATTTAAATAAACATAGCAAATCGTGCCAAGAACAAGGATATGACCTGCTGGAAGTTACATTTTTGTGTTCATAGGTGCTAAAAAAAACTTGTAATACTTTTTACCTCTATCTCTCACTTTCTCTGTCTTTAATGTTTGTCTGTCGCTCTGGCTTGCTATATGTCTGTCTGTCTACTAAACTCCAAAACATATAAATAAACTAAAATTATAAAACATACAAGACTAACAAAGGACAGAGGTTCCTGACTTTGGACAGGTGCAATAATGGGGCGGGGTTAAACATGTTTTGTGAGATCTCAACCCTCCCCTATACCTCTAGCCAATGTAGAATAAACAAACACACAGCAATACGCACATTAAAAAATCAGTTCAAAAGAAGTCCGAATCCGATGTCAGAATAGGTAACAAAAGAAACTAAGCAGTATGGCAATGATACATAAATTAACAAAGAACTACTACCAGTTACTGACATGCCAGCTCCAGACCTCAATTAAACTGATTAAAGATTATGTATTCATCTTATGAAAATCAAGCACAATCCCTTAGGGGTTTAGTATCATATCATCATAAAATATATGAGAAGAACATAACCCGTAACTAATTTTGTATGTCTGTCTTTATGTTGGTCAGTCCCTCTCTCCCGGAGTGTTTACGCGTAAGATTAGATCTGCTCTGCCGACTCTAGACTATTTAGAGCTTTTCATTCGGTAGGATGCTTGGCATCGGATGTTGACGACGGTAACATTGTACCTCTAGCTTTCCAATTTGAATTAGTAGCAAAATGGTGTTATTATTTTATTAATATAAATCATTATATCCAGCATTGTCTTCGACGTGTAATACTGTAAACCAACTAATTTTCGCGATCGACTTATTTTCGCAACTTTCGCGAGTAGAAATAAATCGCGAATATAGATCGTTGTAAATAAGTAAAACTTAGATCCTCACTTATTTAAATGTATTAAGTACATTTGAAAATCATGAAATTAAATCGGCGCGAAATGGAAGAGTTGTCTCATTGACACTCATACCACATCTTCTTGTATTTATAAAGAAAGAGCAAAACGCGAAATAATATATCCGCAAAAAAATTATCCACTGAAAGCTAGTTCAGAGCCAATAACAACTTATAAAACCATCATGTATCCAAGACTATAATACATGTATCATTCAGTACACATCCAATGAATTCAGTGTAAATACGTCAAAACAGTCAAAGAATGACTTCCTATGCACTGTTACTATGTAAACAATAAGGGGAAAAAAATCCCGGATTCAATATCCCAAAGCAGGTTTAATGATAGTACATTAACATTTTATTTCCTGGCTATAAAACACATTAAATAGGATAAAACGAGATTTACCAAAAATATTTGACAGATCATACCGACCTCCAACAATCGAATCCTCCGAATTCTTTAATCTGCCACGTGAAATGAAAATGTTCATCAACCAATCAATCTCTGTTAATTTAGACAGCTGACTAATATAGCGCTGACATTTTCTTGTGTATGGCGGATGGGGCATGTTTTGTTTTTTGTTTTTTGTTGGTTTTTTTTTTTGCTCTTTAGGGTGCACAACCTTTTTTGGCTTTAATTAAAAATAAAAATTGTTTCCAATAAAATATAAGAAAACGATTTTTTGGGGGAGTTTAAATGTTATTTACCCCCTAATTTTTAATTGAAGCAAACTATTTTTCTCTGTCCTTCTGAAACAATATTTTTATCAAGATAATTAGAATCAAACATTTTATTTTTTGAAGAAAGCATGCCCTCCACAATAGGTAAATAGTCGATGCCTTTGACCACACAAAAATAATACGTTCTAGGAAAAACAGTCTATCAGATATTTATTTTTTTCTTTTTACAAAATGAAAACAGTTTTTAACTTCAAACACTTGAATTTTGACATCAAATTGTCTAAATAGTCCATATTGTTTCCTCATTATCTAAAACAATATATTTCCGTATTTGCTCAGGAAATCATAATTAGGTTTTCCTATCAATACAACTGGTTCGTATCAAGTTTTAAGACCATACGTTCTGAGCCATGTTTCATGCATTTGTCAAAATCATATCTATTTTGTTCCATGCAAACCAATGAACAAAAAATACGTCAATTAGACAGCAACCAAACGACATAAATAAACAAAAGATACAGAGAGTGCGACATACAGTCTTCAATAATTGACCCCGATGGTAAATACAAAATTCAAAGATCTAAATCTAAAATCTTGTTCCATGCTATCGCAATAGAAGAGGATCAAGATGGGAAGGCTTAATTTCTGTTTTCTTAAAATGTTTAGGGCCATTTTCCTTTTTTCAAATCTGATACGTTATGGTGGATACCTACAGTTTGTGGAGTCAATGTTCAAAATGTTAAAACCACAAAAACTCACAAAAACAGCAACTAATGGTCGTATTTAACAGTTTCCGTCTTGTAGGATCCCGACTGCTTAATTTCAAACACAACGCGTACTGATTGTAAATAATTTTAGTTCCCTAAATTGTGTGTATCATCATTTTCGATTGCGTTAGTATAGTTCAAAAGATTCAGTGGTACACAAAGTACATCAAACAAAATTAGTTTAAAAAAACGAGAAAAATACGATCTGATGTCGTCTGGAATTACGGTTTCACGTGACAGATCTACACACATCTATGACGACATTCACGTACCCGTGCCACGTGCAGAAACTGATGAGGAACACGATAACTGCCAGCCAACCAACAATGAAAAAACGAAGAAGACATTTCCTAATCGTATTTCACACCAGTATGAAAAACTTATTGGATTAGCAAAAACAAAGAAGAACCGAATGTGCGTTTTTGGTATCGTTTCCTCATTGGTGGCCATTTTTAGTTTAACTGGTGCTATCATTTTCAGTATTGTCTATGCTAAGCCAGCGTTCTGTGATAAATTACTCAAAGGTTTGTTAAAACGATAAAATATACAGAAAGGTTTTTTTTAAATATACAAGAATATTATTCTTCTGACAAATTCTGGTAATATGCTTAAAAAGAGAGGCTACAAAAAATCGGTAAGATATCATCAAATACTAAAAGTCGATGTTAGAAGACAGCGCATGGATAAAGGAAAGAGATGAACAGAATTAAAAAAAAAACCTGCGAAAAAAGCTTATATGCACCTCTTGAATAAAGTCGGCGAATTGTTATAAGATACTTAAAGGAATAAATACTGTAAACCAACTAATTTTCGCGAGCGATTTATTTTCGCGACTTTCGCGAGTAAAATATAACGCGAATATAAATCGTCGCGAATATGTTACACTTGGATTAATTTTTCCTTATTTATCTACATCAAGTAAATTTGAAAATTGCGAAATTAAAGTATCCGCGAAAATAAGTTGGTTTACAGTAAAAAAGTGTTCTGCATCTTTTACGAAAAAATTTCGAATAGTTATCGGAAAATATTTAATTAGGGTTTTTTTTGTGGAGTTATGTTTCTGGATAGGGATCTAAATCATTAGAAAAGCAGTTACGAAAAATTTAACTTTGTCACGGTTTATTTAAAGAATGACTGTAATATTCTTTTCAATCTATGAAGAAATAACATCAAAAATATGGTAGTGTGCACACAATTTTGTGGTTATTTCGAATAGACAGAGAAAAAAATTATAGTCATACCTTATTGTTTAATTCTAAATTTCATTTCTAAGGAGTAAATAATGTAAAAAAAAACGTTCATGACGTCACGGTCACATGACAAAATTATGTCTATGAGCTGATGGACAAAAATCTTTCAGCCAATCAGAAGACTTGTAACATCCAAAATTAAATCATATTTAAATGTGAGTTATCGTCGACTCAAAAAGGCATACTTGAATAATTCATTAACATTTTTCAAATATCTTTGACTACCATGCTTAAAATTAAAAGCTATTTGCTCAAACTTAATATTACAAAGTTTGTACTACGTGATTTTTTCCACATAATAAAGAATCTATTTGAAATAGATTCTTTATTATGTGGAAAAAAAAACTTCCTCTTCTCGGTGCTTTATTTGATTTTCTGGACGCTTTGAATATTTTACCCTAAATGCTTTAAATAAAGCATTTTTTAACATCACACTCTTCGAAAAACAACACAGATAGAAATAAAGTTTGCTCAGTACACATTTGAATACAATTGGTATTTTTTTTATATAAAAACGCTCATTCGGTGACTTTCCTGGTTACTATAGTATTGCTTAACCTACACCGCCTCGAGCTCGGTGGTCTCGTTTTATCTGAGTTCTTTTTCTCAAGTAGCCATTGATATATATACATATTATAACGCCTGATACTTCTTAATCATAAGAAATCAGATTGACAAGGTATAACTGACAGTTGTCACTCCACATATGCAGACATCATCGACATATCTAATTATAAATTCATAGTGATTGTATGCCTCTAAAAATATGATTGCATCTTGTAATTATATTGAAGAGATGAGTAGGTGATCATTCCTGTACATTTGAAAATATTTCGTGTATTGTGATTAGATGTCCTTGTTTAAGGATGTAATTAGATGAGTTTTGTGAATTTTTGTTAGATGTTCGGACTCCTTGGTTTTTTTTCCTACGATACAGGGTAAAATATTTTGCCCCATAACACCCATTTTTCTTTTCATGTTAGACTTCAATATCTCATAAAAAACCATTTACCAAAATTAAAGCAGATTCTAGATTTTTTTCTTGCGATTTCAGACCCAAATAATACCAATGCAAATATAAGGTAAAAGTTTGAGTCAGCCTTTTCCCGCCATTTTAAAAATTGAGCTCCATAACCTATCAATTTTGTTCCTTAACTTATGCTCCTCTTACTAATAGTATCAATTTTAAATTCTTGATTTATTTAATTTCACCAAAGTACATCCTTAATACTTACGAGAAGGTAACACCTCCCGAAACGAAAGCTGATTTTTATCAGTTATAGTTAGGGTAGGGGATGAGGCGTCTGCGCAAACTTAGGCGGTAGTGACGTAGAAGTGAGAAGTGAAAAGTACAGTTTCCAATCCCTGTTGGGAAGTAAGTAAAGAATCAGATCTGCTCTTACATTGTTAGTTTGATTTTCTAGGCACTTTATAAATTTTCTAAAGTGAAATCCGATGGAGAAGGTATACTTGACAGTTGTCACTACACATAGGCAGACATATCTACATATTTGTATTTGTCCATTGCCTCAAGCATCAGTAGTATATATGTGTTCATTGTCTCAAGCAAAAATGTATTTGTCTATTGTGTCAAGCAGAAATATATTTGCCAATCGCTACAAGCAGTAATTCATAATAGTCCATTGCATCAAGAATCACTATATATTTGCCAATTGCCACAAGAAAAATATATATTTGCCAATTGCAAAAAAACATCACTATATATTTGCCATTTGTCACAAGCACCAACATATATTTATCAATTGCCTCAAGCATCACTCTATAATTGCCCATTGTCTCAAGCGTCACTATATATTTGCCAATTGTCTCAAGCATCACTATATATTTGCCAATTGTCTCAAGCATTACTATATCTTTGCCATTGTCTCAAGTTTTACTATATATTTACCAATTGACTCAAGCATCACTATATATTTGTCAATTGTCTCAAGCATCACTATATATTTGAAATTCGACACAAGCAGCAATATATATTTTGACTATTTTCTCAAGCATTACTATATATTTGCAAATTGTCTCAAGCATCACTTTATATTTGACAATTGTCTCAAGCATCACTATATTTTTGTCTATTGACACAAGCAGCAATATATTTTTGTCCATCTTTTCAAGCATCACTTTATATTTGCCAATTGTCTCAAGCATCAATAAATATTTGACAATTGACACAAGCAGCAATATATATTTGTCCATTTACTCAAGCATATCCAGTCCACATTCTTGCTTTTCTAAGAAACAAAACACAAAAACAAAAGCAATATTGCACAAGGGTAGTCACTTGAACATTTTTCCGAACGCCAATTAAACCCTTGGCAAAGTGGGTTTTTCGTTTGGCTGTGCGGGATATATAAATACGCAGCAACGTCTATTACTAATGGGAACGTTAACGCCGATACATCGTGTAGTACATGTAAGAGTGCCATGCTCTTCCGCTTTAAAGAACCATAGGAAACACTCTTTATCTAATTCGTAAGTGGCATGTTTCAAGGCAAAATTGTTGTGTCCTCTATCCCTCATTCTGTTATTTCTAGTGTCAGTCTAAATTTCCCGCCCATCACTCCGGTCGGCCTATTTTACAGAACCCACATATTGTAATTATTGTAATCGGTTTATCGTCCTAAATTAGTATGAAACGATTTCCACTGCATGGAAGCAAACAATCAACAATTATTCAATTTAATAAAACGATATATGAATTCTTTAAGTTCCCAAAAAATAACTTTTGCTTCCATTTCAGAAAACTGGTTGATGGTTTGTAAACCGTCTGGAAATCAAGGTGGAACCAGTATAATCTGCCCTGAGTCGACATCAGTTGTAATAACTAACGTGAGCATTACACGGTACACATATAAACGACAGAGTAAAATGCCGGACTGTGATATCTCGTCAAGCTATATCAAACCAAGTGACAATATTACAGATATTATGAATAATTATTGTGCTGGAAAGCCTTCTTGTGTGATAGGTTCTGAGTATTTTGATCAACATAGTGAATCGTACCAAGAACAAGGATATGACCTGCTGAAAGTTACATTTTTGTGTTCATAGTTGTTATAAAATTGGATTGGTAAGCTTATCCTGCTCCGCACGTGACACCTGTCGTGTTGCTTAAATAAATACTATTTTTTACATTCGACAGAATGTGTCAAACATACAAATTTTGAAATTTGAAAACAGGAGTAAGGGCCGATTTTGGCCTCAAAATTAAGGTTCATCTGATGAAAGATTTTGGACACTTTTTAAACACTTAAGTGTCTACTTCGGTTGATTCATTTTATTTTTTGTGAAAGATTTGAACTGATTTAGTCATTAAAGACGCTCAAATTCAAGCTTAAATATGAAAAATCTATCAAATATGCCATAATATGTCACTTTTCAGATGGTTGTTGTCAAAAATGAAAGTGGCCGCATCCGTGTTCATTATCAACCTTTATATATGTTATGTATTATCATCAAATACAACTTACATTTAGATATTAAGAATCAACACAAATGCAGCCACTTCCATTTCAGACGGAATCTGTCTAAAAATTAACCAAAATGCTAAAATTTTGAAGATTTCAGTAATTTAGCATGACTTAATGATGCTAGTACCCGATACATGTGCATATTATTGTCAAAAACAGTCCATATTTATGTAACAGAAGTATTCTTCTTTTCAATAAATAGCTAAACAATTTTGTAAAACTGCTATATTTTGGGGCCAAAAAGGGGTCTTACTGGGCCTACTCCTTTACAGATTTAGGGAGCTACCATTTGATTTTTATGGGGGAGGGGGGGGGGGGGGAGGGGGGAGGGTGCTAGGATGAAAAATTTTGTCCTGCCTATTTATTTTCCCCTCTATTCGGTCCTGCGTTTTTATTTTTCACTCTATTCGGTCCTGCCTTTTTTTTTTAGTTTATCCTGACTTTTTTATTTAACTAAATTGTCATCCTGCCTTTTTTTTGTGCAAATAATCTCATCCTGCCTTTTTTTTACTCAAAACTCCTGTCCTGCCTATTTTTTTTCAAATTTCATCCTAGCCCTACTTTCAAATAAAGTGGATGTAAGCAATTATAGGCAACCGTACGGCCTTTAACAATGAGAAAACCCCATACCGTATTGTCGGTTATCAAAGGCCCCGACATGAAAAATATGAAACAATTCAATTGAGAAAACTAATTTATTTTATAACAAAACAATTTACGAAAAACGAATATGACAGACATGAACCAACGACAACCACTGAACTACTGGCTCCTGACTTGGGACAGGCACATAAAGAATGTGGCGGGGTTAAACATGTTTGTGAGCGTTCAACCCTCCCTAACCTGGGACAGTGGTGTAACAGCACAAGATAAGAACAAACTATAAAAATCAGTTGAAAAAGGCTAAACTCATCAGATCGACACAAAGCAGAAAAACATCAAACAAAAACACTGACCGGACGTGGCAGGGTATACGTATTTACCCATCCATCATCCCTAACAACAAAAAGACACCTAAGTAGAGATCCGAGAGCACTCGCAGTTACTGACAGCTAGTTCAAAGCCAATAACAACATATATTATTATACTTCATGTCAAAATGCCAGATTTTGATTGGTTAATACGAGGGAGACAATTTACTATATTCTATGGTAAATACTCTATTACCCTTCACGGAGACGCTTGATCAAATGTGCGCTTTATTAAATACGACTCTATCCTATGGCAAATACTCTATTACCCTTCACGGAGTCGCTTGATCAAGTGTGCGCTTTATTAAATACGGATGGTTCTTATTAGTATATCATAGTATATCAAGACATCATAGTTTATTACTTTGAATTTGAAACTTAATCGACAGTAATAACAGAACATTCAGTATAATAAATTAAATAACACATATCTGAGAGGGTGATAGAGCAGATTGTTACCCCTCGAAAAGACATTGTCAACCTTGGCTTCGCCTCAGTTGACCATGTTTTCTCGGGGTAACAATCTGCTCTATCACCCTCTTAGCTATGTGTTATTTATATAATGTCTATTTATTCTGCAATCGACCTTTCTACTATACAAATACAGGTGTACAGATAACACGCAGCGATATACTAAAGTCTCCTGGTTTTCCATGTACGAATATTGTATACTAATGTATATTTCGTCAAGAATATGCATATATGGTATTTGTGGCTGGATGTTAATCACTTATGCCAGCCATAGAATTCAATTTAACGAATCTTGTAATTGTTTGAGTCAAAATAATGTGTCCGCATGGTTTCACGTGTCTTCCAGTTCACTGTTACCTTAATTTCGAATCAGAACATAAAATATTCAGCTCAGTCTGTCGAGCTTAGCAGAGTTCATATTCAGATTGTATATTCTCTCCTGCCTGGATTATTTTGTAATATTGGCCGCCGGACATTAATGATTTTACATCAACATGCACATGCAAATTATTACAACTGGGTCTGCCCCAGTAAACGTTAAATAACCGTTTTGGCTTGTTTTTGAGTGACATGGGGTCTGACACCTGAGTTTTGACATGGGTTCTAGCATTAGGGTCTTGAATAATATGGGTTACGACAAGTTATTGACATAGGTAGGTGAGCGAGGAAGAACTCTGTGTTGAGCCCCTATAGTCTCTCCCCTTCATTATATTAAATCCCCAGTATCTATTAGTTATTTGTACCATTATATATACCAATATGCTATATTGATCAATTATGGGATATTGACGAGGTCAATACGTTATATATGGACCTGTCCAGATTATATTGACCGAGGACGAAGTCCAAGGTTCAATATAAAATAACAGGTCCATATGTAACGTATTGACTGAGTAAAAGTGCTTAATTTATATATTATATATGTTAATAGTGTAAGTTTAGAAATAATATTGACTAGATGTTACTATTTTTAGAAATGATATTGACTCTATGTTACTACTTTTAGTAACAAGGAGTCAATATCATTTTTAAAAATAGTAACGTCGAGTCAATATGTCAAGATAGTGAAAAAATACAGAATATATATTGGGAAACATGTGACCAAATAAAGCAATGAGAAACAAGAAACATAAAACCATATGTAATATTTTTATATATGACTGTATAATATATACTATCAACTTGCCACTCGACTATTGAGCGAATTGGAAAATCGTGGATTTATGATAATGAAGGGAAGGGACTATGGGCTGCTCAACACAAATTCGTTTCCTTACTCGCCTATGTTTAAAACAATTCATACCGCCCTGTGCCCAATTCCTTGGAACGAAGTTAGCAACCTTTCGCTACAGTCTATAGTCGAGTGATAGCAAACATGTATATTTAGACAAAAAAAAAACACATATGGTACCAATAACTGATATATATATATTGGAAAATCGGGGATTTATGATAATGTAGGGAATAGACTGTGGCAGGGGGCTTAATACAGAGTCTTGTCCCTACGTACCTATGCATCACATAGTGAGGTATTAACTCATTTGTTTCGACAAACATAGTGAAAAGCGTTATGTTATTACATCATCCGGATTTCGACATGCACAGTTCTGTGATTTAAAGGTTTGTCACATTGATTTAAACTGTTACGAATGTTACATAAGATGGTGTCTGACATCAGGGCTTCAGCAGGCTCAAGTAAATAGAGGTCTTCCGTGATTAACTGACGGGTGCATACTCCATTCTATCAATGTCGACCAACACACTACTAAAATCTGCCTATGACTGTATAATTCAGATATTATAGGAACAAGTTATTTATGTAACCTTTAAAACATTTTCGTGAACTTTAATACATCTTCATGGCATAAATATGTACATTTTATTTCTAATTTTATACCCATAGAACAAATAAACAAAACACGGTTTTATTTCACTTCACCATCACATATGTAGATATTTGGAAATTAACTTTCGTGTATCGTGATACTCATATATTGTATTCGTCAAACATTAATGCACTAGTTTTCAATGTTCTACAACTTAACGAGGGTTCACATCAATTCAAGATATTCGTGGCGGTATGCTTCAGGAGGGTAAAGGAAGACATTCGACCCAGGCGACATCAGCGGCGCAGAAAGCTGTTCCCCGTATGAAGGGGAGTTAATTGGAGATTTCACATCAGTGGTTTGATCAACGGTAAATACAGAGTCCAAGCTAATATCTGAAGCTGGCGGAGTAGGGTAGTTTGAAGACATTGAAACAGACCTTTCTTGTTCATGTTCATCGTCTTGGTTTTTACCATGTTGCCTCTCCATGCTTATTCTGAATGACTTTTCAGTAAAATATAACTCATTTTGTTCATGTTTTAAATTTTCAGTTGCTTTCCGCCATTTATAAAGAAAAACAAACGAGGTAATTGTTACGAAACATAAAACAGTAGCTAAACCAGTGACAATTCCGATATATACGGTAGTGTCGTCTAAGGGTAAATGAACGACGCGTGTACTTCCGGTAGAGTTTTTAGTTTGTTCCGAATGGTCCTGAAAATTTTGGTTATCGTTCAACTTATTTTCTTGTGTTAAATCATCTTGTTTTCCTTGAAGTTTCTTGTTGGGCATGGTAGCGATAATAAAACTGTTGACATTGGATTTTTCGGAAAAAGTTGTTGAAACAGTCGACATCTCTTGGTATGTTTCTTTTGTTGATTGAAATGTTGTGGTGGTGAAATTTTTAAAAGAACGGGTTTGATTGGTTAGTTTAAATTCTGCTAACGGAAGAACAGTGCCAGAGGTTGTGCTGGGTTGTACCAATCCTTCAACCTGTCCGTCTCCTACAAATTTAAAAAAACTCTTAAACTGACTCCACAAAACAGATATTTATCTACATATTTGATATATGATTTATTTACATCAAGGTACAATGTTTAATATACAATACATTTCGAACATTAAATCACAGTTTCTGAAATTAATATATAAACAGCAACAACCAATGCAAAGAAAAAACAACAACATTTTTAAATGAAAATATGACAAAATATTTTTGGTTCTGTTATTTGTCTTTAACGCTTTCAGATTATATACATTAAAACGGGAAGAGGGTACCAAAAGATGAGTGGGGCAATAAAATAGCATAAATCGAAAAAAATCATCAGTATTTATGAAGTCTTTAACCATAAAAAAGTTTTTGTCAACTGAAAATGCAGACGGAATTTCGATGCAAAATTATCCATGGACGTCTCTGGCAGTAAAACCTTACTAATGTGGGCGTTTGTTTGATGGTGTTTCATATCTTTTAAGTATATTGTCAAATTCTAAAAGTCAACATTAGCTAAAACATATTTTTAAATAATTTAATTTTGGATGTAACGCGTCTTCCGATTGGCTGACGTTGTTTTGTTTATCAGCTCACAGGGGTTAAAAAATCCACTAGCCCGACGCCCGGGACTAGACTTTTACACTTCGGGCAATTAAAACTTGTAACCGAATATGCCCGACGGACTAGTAACAAACAATTCTTGGCATTTCCAAAATAGTAAGTGGAAAATCCCCTCATCACTATTCTATCTTAGCCAATCAGATTCAATTACGTACGTCATCCGGGATTCCAAGAATTTGAACCGATTTTGTACATGTTTTAAAAATAGAACAACTAACTCTGGGTGGACCGGTATCATGTATTGATCGCAATTCACGTACTTTCAATATCAATTTCTCAGTACAGGGGTTATTGTACATTGCTTAAGCCGAGATTTTCAATTAATGGTATTTGGGTGTATGATGTAATGATCGATATTGACCTGTCTTGTCGGACAGCTGTTAATTTGAGCTTGAAACCATGCACAAATTATTTCTAAACATTTTAGTACGGCCACCACAGGAACTTTGTCAGTTTTAAAACGAAAAACGGTAGATGAAGGGGGTAATGAGGCTGAAAATTTATCCCAAAAAATGCCAAATAAGACCAGGAAAAGCGGAAAAAACATCTATAGTGTCATGGACAGAAAGATTCCCCATGGGCAAGGTCGACTGTTACTCATGATAAACAAGAGATGATTTTTTTATGAATATTGCCGTTATTTTCCCGATCTCGCTGATAAAAAGTCTGCTTTGTATGTGGGAACAACAAATATACGAATTGAACCACTGGTTTAACATGACTATCAATGAACATGTTTTCTGTGCCCGAAAATATTTAACCCATAGTACAAGGGATATCCAAAAAGATGTCTAGAGATCCTTGTTATAATTAATAAAACAAAAATTTATTTGATTTATTTTATCAAATACCGTGTATAATGCAGCATTCAAAACAAGGGACACCCACTCTAAATTTGAAAGGTATACTCGGGCTAGCAGGTCAGTTTTGATGGGCTAGCAGCTCTTTCAACAGGGCTAGTAAAATCCTGCTACCAATAAGTCCTGGGCTAGTGAGCTGTAACAAATTTTTTTAACCCCTGGGCTCATAGACATAATTTTGTCATGTGACCATGACGTCATCAACGCTTTTTCATGATTTACTCCGGTTTAAAATGGAATTAAGAATTAAATTATAAGAAATGACTGTAATATTTTTTCTGTCTATTCGAAATATCATAAAAAATGTGGTGCACACTTTAAAATAACCCGGCTACGCGGGTTATTCAGTGTGCACCACATTTTTGATGTTATTTCTTCATTGACAGAAAAGATATTACAGTCATAATAAAATGATTCCTTAAATAATTTAATTTTGATACATGTTATTTTCACTGAATAGTTGAGTCCTTAAATAAAAACAACAACAAATTTCTATACACACCTCATAAAGATTTTAAATAATGGATCTTTCTACGTTTTAAAAGTAATTGAAAGTATAGCCATAAAACTTGTGTGACTTCCGAACTGGGTTAAATTTTGTAAATTGGAAAAGTACTGAATGCAATTATACCAGTATAACAGAACATAAACAACCAGACAAAATAGAAACATTATCTATTATACCATACAAAAATGTTAAAACAGTCATATATAAGCAAAGTAAATGTACCGACGTTAAGAGGGGTAACTCCAGAAAGTCGCTGGTATGTTTGTGCCAATTATCTTCATAAATATATATTACAAGCTTCTATGTGATACATACTTTGAATTATGTTTCACGTGCATTGTGAGACAGTATTTATAAAGAGTTATCTCACCTTAACCATGTCATTGGTTTCTATAAGATTAATTGTCTACTTACCCGAAGTACTACAAACACACGTCGGACATCCTTTACTGTCAACACCTGGGCAAGGACAATTTTCTGAAAACAGACAGAAAAGTGCAAAGGGTGAAGGTTTGGTACCATTAAAACGTTTAAACCCGCTGCATTTGTTTGCACCTGTCCTAAGTCAGGAATCTGATATTCAGTAGTTGTCGTTTGTTGATGTGGTTCATAAGTGTTTCTCGTTTTTATATAGATTAGACCGTTAGTTTTCCCGTTTGAATGGTTTTACACTAGTAATTTTTGGGGCCCTTTATAGCTTACTGTTCGGTGTGAGCCAAGGCTCCGTGTTGAAGACCGTACTGTGACCTATAATGGTTTACTTTTATAAATTTTGACTTGGATGGAGAGTTGTCTCATTGGCACTCATACCACATCTTCTTATATCTATTGAACAAATCTCGTAGCTGGGCCGGCATGAATGTAACTATGAAATTAAGTTAGATAAACTAATCCTTCATGGCTCAATTCTGGCAGTATTCGTTTTATTCAGCAAGACTTAGTAAACTAGAATGTCTTACTATTCATCAACTGTTCCTCTTCACTTCTCATATAAAGAGATACATCACGAGTTTGATTTTGAGTAATGTCAATTGCGCATGCGTAATGTGTGATTTTCAAAAGATTTTTTGTGCAAAATAAAGACACTGTCCTCTTAAATCGTAAGTTAAACTGAAAAATTAATCGTGGCAATACAATCACGATACGAATTTAAGTTTACAGTATCTATCGAAAAAATAAGACTGTTTTGGTTATCTTTTTCTTAGTTCTAATGACCGTTTTATACCAGACGTAGCAGCCCTGCATGTAAATTGATCATGCCTTAGATTGGTTACAAAACTTAATTTTATTTCAATATTGCTAAATCTGAGAAATTTTCAGTCAAATTTGTGATAGGATTTTCCTGGAGGTAGTATTTATTTCACAATTGAAGATTATCTATAGATAAAGCAACCATAAGTCTGTTTCTGTTTCTGGTAACACAATTACAAAAATGTACGCTAAATTGCATGAACCTGATGAACGGACTTGTTTTCTTTTCAATTTACCTGTCTTCTCAACAGATCTCTTTCCAACGGTACCAGGCTTAAAATTACCAAACTGGTTTCCATAACTCATTTGACTACTGGGACCAGAAAATTCCATCTTGCACGGAGAAAAACCTCCCAACATCTGATTCATAGTATTAGCGTTTTGTTGCCATATATTAGTTAAACTAACACCTCCGCTCTGATCTGAAAGATAAATGAAAAATTACATAAGCAATACGATGGGTTCCACACGTGGAGCAGGATCTGCTTACCCTTCCGGAGCACCTAAGATCACCCCTGGTTTTTGGTGGGATTCGTGTTGCTCATTCTTTAGTTTTCTATGTTGTGTTTTGTATAATGTTGTTTGTCTTTTGATTTTTTTCCTTTTTTTTTGCCATGGCGTTGTCAGTTTAATTTCGACTTATGAGTTTGAATGTCCCTTTGGTATCTTTCGCCTCTCTTTTAAAGCAGGAATATTGCTTGTTTCGCCCATGCTGATTGTGCCTCTCATTTTTAGTATACAGTTTATATACTTATTTATAGAAAAAAACAGGCTATAAGTACGTAATCTCTTAACACATACGGACGAAAAATTGTGCATTTGTATAGATCTGAAACATTAATTTAACGGAATTTTTGTAAGAAAACGAAACGTCTATCTGATATGGTGGAAATTGTTTCTTTTAAAATTGAGAATGGAAATGGTTTTTGAATCGTTTTATTTTGTTATTTTTGTTTTGGTTTGCTTTTTCATCTGTTTAGCAGTATACCATATAGGTCGATTACAGAAGCCATGATTATTTTTTTTTATAAAGGTGATCATTGAAAGTTTTAGTTGTTCGTTTAAATTTTTTTTTTTTTTTTTATTTTCTGTTCGTATTGTTTGATAAACGTTTACTTCTAAATCACTGACCTTATGCAATTTGCGTATTTTATTTTATCAATCATTCAGAGCTTAAAATAAAATTCCAACAATGGATACTAATAATGACTTACCTAAACTTTGCACATGTCCAAAGAAACAAAATATCCGAATATAGAATAAGAAAAACTGATACTTCTGCATGACTTATCCTTTTTCAATTCTGTAGTCCATTTAAAAAGGAATAAGATTTAGCGAAAGAAAAAATTACCAAGCCAAACTTTCCATACTTTGATATCACAAATTGTTATCAATGTATTCATCACTTATCATTGAACTGGTACCCTTAATCTGGAGGCGTGAGAGTTTAGATGTACCAGAACAGGAGGACATTCAATACCGTAATTGCCATTCATAGGTCATATTTTAGCTACGACCAAAAGATTATTTTCATTTCTTACCATGGACACAAAGCAAGATTTTATTTGCATGTAAGAGAGATTTTGTAGAGTTGTTCCGCATTTGATAAAGTATTCTGATAAACTAGTACGATAAAATAAAAGCACAAAACTTTTATGTTCATTTCACTTAAAAAGAGGTTCTTCTCCGAAGAAAGACTGTTCTTATAATTATGCAAAGTGATGGAGCTAACTTTCAGCGCGTCCGACGAGAAACAAATTTATTAATGCCTTTTTATCTTATATTTTGTCTTTTTTATACGGAAAAACGGGGGTCTCTGTTTGGTATTTTGCGATATTTGATTGTCCTTATATTAAATCTTTTAACCGAATTTGTCACCTAGGATCACACCAAGGTTTTTGGTAGGGTTCATGTTGTTCAATCTTCAGTTTTTTATATAGTGCTTTGTGTACTTGTCTGCCTTGCTTCACATTTTTCGTTTTTTTGGTTTTTTTTGTCAATTTCTTTTCATTTCATTAGATTTTGAATGTCCCCTTGGTGCGTATCCCCCCCCCCTTTTTTTTTGAATGTTTAAAAGAAATTCTGTCGATTAAATCAAATCTTATGAATAGTTTATTGCCAAATCCTTCTGATCAATGATATCACCTTGATACATATCTAGATGGATTTGGCTAATTTATTTAGGTCCTTTTTTGTTTGTTATATAGCTCTTCAGCTGTTTCGGTTCTTATACATCCTTGGCTTCCCAATATTCGGCTTTGAGCGTTTCTGGTGAAGTTAAACCCAGAATAGCGCTTCGGGTGCATGAATCTATAAAGTGTTATTTTTATTTTTTATGTAAATCTTGAAAAAGTATTGACATAAATCCATCAAATACGGTAATAGGAAATAATTGATGGTCTGGATGGGGTTTACGGAATAGAGATTAATTGGGAAAAAATTAAGAAAAGAAAAAAATGACAAATAGAAAAACAGAATACAGTGCTAAAATAAATAGAATAAAAAATAATGGCAAAACTAAAGAATAGAAAAAATGGCCCAATAGTATTACTGAAATGAAGACCCCTCATCCGGACCCTCAAAATTTGAGGCAGATGTTTCGGTTTATCACCTGATACTTCACATTATCTTCTACACGACGGCGAAGCAGAAGGTATTTTTACTATGTCAGATAATTATAGATATCACACCTTTATAGGTTCAATAGTAATCACCATAATCGTACAAATGAAACATAAACATTAAATTTTTATCTTAAAGTTGAAAAACCGCAAAATCTTAGATTCAAAATCGAAACATTTAAAGGTTAAAACTACAGATATGCATCTCTGTATTAAGAGAATTTTTTTTATCTTTTCAACTTTATCTAAATATCTAACTTTTTGTAAAAAATTTTGTAAATAATTGTTAGGTGTATCAAAACAGAGTTTATGTGCTTGATATTCATATGCTGAAGACATAATCTTTCAATCAGTTTAAGGTCTGGAGCTGGCATGTCAGTAACTGCTAGTAGTCCTTTGTTAATTTATGTATCATTGTCATTTTGTTTAGTTTTTTTTGTTTCCTATTCTGACATCGGACTCGGGCTTCTTTTAAACTGAGTTTTACTGTGCGTATTGCTGTGTGTTTGTTTTTTCTACATTGACTAGAGGTATAGGGGCAGCCCACGGTTGAGATCTCAAAAAACATGTTTAACCCCGCCGCATTTTTGCGCCTGTCCCAAGTCAGGAGCCTCTGGCCTTTGTTAGTCTTGTATGATTTTTAATTTTAGTTTCTTTTATATATTTCGGAGTTTAGTATGACGTCCATTATTATTATTATTAGGCTGATCTAGTACATATTTTTGTTTAGGGGCCAGCTGAAGCACGCCTCCGGGTGCGGGATTTTTTCGCTGTATTGAAGACCCATTGGTGGCCTTAGGCTGTTTTTCTGCTCTTTGGTCGGGTTGTTGTCTCTTTGACTCATTCCCCATTTCCATTCTCAATTTTACTTTAATATGGCAGATATCTCAGAACTTAGAAGGTTCCCCCTATATGTTGACATTTTAACACATATGTTTATGTACTGGTTTAGACTAGAACACTCACCAAGTGACTTATTAAAAAGTGTATATAATGAATATAAGAATGGGGATCATAAAGACAACTCCAGGTACTCTAAAATAAAATTATTCTGAAAAACATTAAACTTGACATTTAAATTTGCAATAATTTTAGTAAAACCACATTAAAAGTACAGTATAACTAAATTAAAAAAAAAAAAACGAATAAAAGATGATTTTCTGAAATTCTGGAAAATTTTAAACGATTCTCCCCCTGATTACCAAGGCAAATTAGATGCTTACTTCAAATTTAATAATGTACTTAGGTCAGATTTTGGAATTTTTGTCAAATGTTCGGACTCCTTGGGGTTTTTCCTACGATATAGGGTAAAATATTTTGTCCCATAACACCCACTTTTTTTCCCATATAAACTTTAATAGCTCATAAAAGTTCATTTACCAAAATTAAAGCGCATTCTAGATTTCTTTTCTTACGAGACCCACATAATGCTAATGCTAAATGTAAGGTAAAAATAAAAATAAGAAGATGTGGTATGAGTGACAATGAGACAATTACCCATCCAAGTCACAATGTATAAAAAGTAAACAATTATAGGTCAAAGTACGGCCTTCAACCCGGAGCCTTGGCTCACATCGAACATCAAGCTATAAAGGGCCCCCAAAAAAGATTAGTGTAAAACAATTCAAATAGGAAAACCAACGGTCTAATCTATATACAAATAAACTGTTATCACAGACATATGTCTCGCCTATTTGTTATTTTGATAATGCAAATGTTGAAATTAAAATAGCAATACTTTAACATGTAAGTTATGCAAATATTCAAAGTCAATGAACCATGACTGAAGGAACAGGGCTAAACAATCTCCATGAAAATGAGATGTGCCAATGCTAATACAACTGCATACCAAATATCATTGACTTTTCATAAGTCGTTCCCTTTTAACAAACCTAAACAAAAACATTAACTTGTAAACTATGTAAAAGTTTCAAAGTCAATGAACCATAATGAGGGGGTGGGGTTATATAATCTCCATGGAAATGAAACTTGCAAATGCCAATACATTTGCATACAAAATATCATTGACTTAACATTAGTGGTTCATCTTAAACGGACCTAATCACAAACGAATGCATATTTAAACTAAGCAAAAGTTTCAAAGTCAATAGACCATGACTGAGGGGCGGGGCCAAATATTCTCCATGGAAATAAGATGTGCTAATGCTTATACAACTGTATACCAATTAACATTGGCCTACCACTAACGGCCCCCCTTAAACTGACCTAATCACAAACTAATACATGAAAACTAAGCAAAAGTTTCAAAGTCAATAAACCATGACTGAGGGGGCGGGGTAAAATAATCTCCATGGAAATGAGATATGCCAATGCTTATACAACTGCATACCAAATATCATTGACCTACCACTAGTGGTTCCCCATAAACAGACCTAATCACAAACTAATACATCGTTGACCGCCGCCGCCGCCGACGCCGGAAACAGCATACCTATGTCTCGCTTTTTGACTCCGTCAAGGCGAGACAAAAAATGAGAAACGAGAAACACTTATGAACCACATCAACAAACGACAACTACTAAACATCAGGTTCCTGACTTAGGACAGTTGCAAACAAATGCAACGGGTTTAAACGTTTTAATAGGTAGCAACCTTCATCCTTACCTGAAACAATAGTGTAACATCACATCATAGAAAGACACATAATTCTAGATTTTTTTCTTACGATTTGAGATCCAAATAATGTCAATACTAAATTTAACGTAAAAGTCCGAGTCAGCTTTTTCCGCCATTTTTAAGTCAGAATAAAATATCTCAAAAGTAGTTCCATAACCAATCAATATTTTTAGCTTATCTTGTTCCTTAACTTATGCTCATCTGACTTATAATATCAATTTCAAATTCTAGATATTTTTTGTTCACCTAAGTACAATAAAATGCTCCGCTGGGCGCAGCTTGATACGACCGCAGAGGTCGAACCCTGAACAGTTGGGGCAAGTATGGACACAACATTCAAGCTTGATACAGCACTGAATCTGGATTGTGATTAAATATTTGACACAGCATAGGTTTCTGACACAGAATGAATGTGGCCTAAGAACTTAAATTTTTAATTTACCTATTCAAACCATATCATTATTATTTGCTTTTATATATAAATCAGAAATAACCAATTAAAAATGGAAAATTTTAAAGAAAAACTAGAGGCTCGCAAGAGCCTGTGTCGCTCACCTGTATTTACTGATGCTTTGGAAATCATGTAAAATAAGGTTAAAATCATAATTAATAGTATTAGATATTTGATATTATAATGATATCTAAGATAATAACAAAAAACTGCAAAATTTCTGTAAAATTACAAACTCAGGGGCAGCAACCCAACAACGAGTTGTCGGATTCGTCTGAAAATTTCAGGGTGGATAAATCTAAATCTGATGAACATTTTTGCCACTGTCATATTTGCTTTAAATGCTTTAGTTTCAGAGATATAAACCAAAAACTGCATTTTATCCCTATGTTCTATTTTTAACCAAGTCGGCCATGATGGTTGTCATCGGACAATTTTTTTAAACTTGATACCCTATTAAAATACACTTGTGACGTAAATCTTTTGTTCAAACTCTCCATTATTTTTTAGGAATGGAGAGTTATTTTCTTTTGTTCATCTTCATTCATCCGGACGTTTTGCCCTTTTGATATTTCCATGGGCACTTTCTTAAAAAGTGTTCACCCATGGAAATAATCCTAAAGGACGAAACGCGATATTGAATGAAGATTAAAACTTACTAAA